ATGACAACCAACTTCATATTGCTCAAAATTTTCAAAAATAATCGCCTTTCAAATGATAAATAAATATCATACGCCTTCTTATTAGTACGGCATTCATTTTATGCACATTTTTGCGATGATTTATTAACTTCACTCTAAATACATAATAAGTAACTCGAAATAGACGTGATCTTTTAATATAAATGTGTTAAAAAACATCATTTCCACATCATCAATTATTATACCAATCTTTAACGAGTTTAATGATACACTCACGCAGTAAATTATCTGCCTGTATTTGTTAAAATTTTAAAAGAAATCGATAATCCATGGAAAACAAACCAATTACTTCTCTATCTTGGCAAGATGAACTGATATATGCACATGGAACGAAACTCATAGAATCTACAAATGTAATGACGTTCGAGTCGCAAATTAAAGGCGTACGCTCTTATAACAACAAACTAGTCGTATTTACAAAGAGAACAGTTAGCTTGCTATCAAAAAGAGAAAAGATCGAATTGATTTGGACCAAAACACTTAATACAGACATCATAGATGTATATTTGTACACAAAAATATGTATTTTGATGTCTAATGGTATTTATATTAGAATCAAAAATTTAAGCTTAAACGAAATCGATCGATCAAAAATTTTTAATAAAACAATTTTTTCGGGCCACATAACAGAAAACAAGGTTTTGATTGGAACATTTGATGACATACACATTTTTGATGTAGAACAAGATGAATTCCCAAAAGAGAAAAGTGTTTTAAGATATCACCGAGGCAGAGTTTTTGACATAACACTTACTGAGAACAATTTATTATTTTCATGCGCTGAAGACAGAAAAATATGCTTGAATGGAACTACCATCATACAAGATTACAGAAACTATTATTATAAACTTTACTATAATGGCCTAAAACTTTACGCCTTCAATAAAAATGGGCATCTGAATATTTTTGAGAATAACAATGTCGTACTTAAGAAAAATTTTGGAAACAATAGTCTTACTTCGATTTTTGAAAAATTTAATAGGATTTATATTGGTACAAAAACTGGTAGTATTTACGAAGTTATCAATAATGAAATCAAGCAGATTAGAGGTCCCCATTCTAATATGATAGGATATAATCAATTGTATAGTATTAAAGGAGTAACAAAACTTTTCAACTGTGGTGCATATTTTTATAACAATCAAATAATTTACAACAAGTTAGAATTAACAACTTCGGAGTGTCCAATAGATTGTTTTGCCTATGAAAATGACATCTTTCTATTACGGCATGATTGTGTAGAAATGTACAATTTTATATCAGATGATTGCAATAGTAGATTAATTTTAAAATTTAATAATAGTAAGATACAGTTTTCCAACATTTCAGCTCATAACAACAAATTGTTCCTATACAATACTCATATTTACATCATAGTTTGTCTTTTATGTTTCAGAATCATTCAAATTACTAGATGTGAAAAAATATTGGCGATAAAATCAGGAATAGTCTGTGCTAAAAATGGATGCATAGCCTATAAATCATCACTTTATAAAATATCAAACAGCCAAATCACTGATGTTATCATTCATAAACATAATATATTTGCAATTGATAGTAATGGGAAATTTTTAACAATAAACATGGACAGCATTTCAACAACAGATACCAATATTTTAGAAAGAAAAGATTTATTGAAGAATCATGCATGTATTTATAACAATTCATCTGTTAGTGTAGATTACTTTCAACAAAAATTGGCAATATTAGATTTTTCAGACATATCGATCAAGAATATAATTTTGAATAGGACAAATTTGATAGACTTGCGACCCAGAGTGCTTTACAAATATGCAGGAAACGCGAATAATGGATTATGTATCATCAAAAACGAAGTTTTTTCACTTAACAAATCAAAAGATATAGCAACGACTTCAACAATGCTGCTTGAACGACATGGGGATTCTTTAACCTGCTATGAAATCGACGTCAAACCTGATATTTCAGTTGCATACTGTGACTTCACTGCTAAAATATCAATACAAAATTATAGTTTGGTAGGGAACGAGCATGGATGCCTGTTCTTAATTATTTCAACGAAGATGATAGATTTCATTAGATTATTAGGATCAATCGTAGATATTTTTGATGTAAAAGATGCATCAAAAAACATTTATCAATTCTTTGTATACACAAGACCAGGCCGTGTATATGTAATCAGAATATATAACGAAAGGCTTTTTATAATTAAAGAGGCTGTATTTTCACACAAAGTCACAGCTGCATTTAAGGATCAGGTATGTTTATCCGATGGAAGAATTTTAAAACTCGATATAAACCTAACTTGTCATGTTGCAGCCACTGTGGATTCATATGTTACTGCAATGATTGATAAAATGGTTTCATTCAATGGATATGTTCAGCATATTGAATCGAAAACATCAAAAAAGATTTCAAACTTATCCATTTTTAAGATCAAATGTTTTAGAAACCTTTATGTTGCAGTTAGTGATGATCATTCAGTAATTATTTTTAACAAAGACTTGAAAGTTTTAAACACAGCGGTACCACATTCCGCTCAAATATTTGATGTATGCATATTTGGAATGTTTATAATCACCGTGTCTTCTGACATGAGAATTTGTATTTTAGATGAAAAGCTAAATACAATCCAATACCTCTATCATAACGTAAAATTACCAAAAATAGTTATTGTTCTTAATAATAGCAAACTAATGGTATTAGGAGAATCCATTGAAGAGATAGACTTCAAGCTTATTGAAATTGCTTTTGGAAATCACAAAATTAGTCTATTAAATTGATTTGTTCAAATCAATACAAATTTGTCATTACACATACATAGTAATGAATAAGTAATATCTGATCACAAAACCTTCTTTTATTTAATTAACTATGGAAAGATACTTTGCTTAGAGACAAAAAATCCGTTATCTCACATTATTTTGTTCGTTTTATTTTTCTATTTTAAAGCTTACCCATGAGACCATTTCTATGCTCAATTTTAAAATGCCAAAAATGTGGAAGCACACAATATCCAAAACTAAATCCAGAAGAAGTTTTTAAAGTAGCATTGCCAGCTCACCTTCCAAGCATTTCTAAATTCAGAGAACAACAGAGTTTTCTATCAGATCTAATAGATGTAATCTCGAAGAACCATGGTAAAATTTTTGATATAAACGAGGCAGATCTTTATGCTTTCCTCGAGCCCGAAAATGCAACTTCGATAGAAAACCTAAAAATTATAGAATTGCTGTATGGAGTCGATATTGTTGCAGGAACAATAACGTGTGTTGACTGTGGGGATACAAAAAACATTAAAAATGGAATTTTATTTTGTGAAGAATAAAGTAATTTTGAATATTTACCGATTTTAATAAAAGTTGAATGCATTACCTAGTATAAATAGAGTTTATAACTCTTAATTATTTTGTCAGTTCATGCATCAGTGTAGGAATACAAAATCGTTTTATCAACCATACTAATTTTAAATAGATGGATGAATTCATTTATATTTTTAGCCCTCATCCATGGTGACGGACTGTGCCGTACAAGAGTTCATTCAACCCTACTTAAATTGCATAAAGAAAGTGTTTGAAAATGAAAGTGGACAGTTTATGATTGTAGGAATGGACAAGCTTGCAATAGAAGAGATTGTAAATAAGCTATCAAGCTTAAGCCCATATAAAGTTATAAAGATTGACAGACAGAAAGATTTTAATCCAGACAGGAAAATTTTTATCTTAAAACTCGAAAACATCTCTTCGATAGAATACCAGTCTTTGATTTATTATTATCTTGAATTGCCAGCCAATAGCAAAAGTTTTGTATGCCTTGTTTCTACATCTTCACTTGCACTGGAATTTTTTGAAAAAAGAGTGAGAAGTAGGTTTAGAAATAAGATATTTTTTATACCCTACGTTAATTTTGAATTAGAAGTAGACAATAAAGAGAATCAATTCAACATAAAAATAGAAAATAAAATAGCATATTCCACAATTGAACTCAAAGAACGACAGAAGCTTATGAAGAAATACGGTCTTAAAGAATTCGATTTCAACATTCTTTTTGAACTATTTGAACCAATCCATTTTGTTTTATTAAGTATCGCATTTAATCAAAAATTAAACGTTCAAAAATGTAACGAACAATTTAAACTGGCGGTTATTGACACTCCTGAACTGAAAAGAGTTCCATCGTCAAGAGTGCTTTTTGGTGTTTTAGACTTAGTTGAAGCTGGCATTATTAATTTGACAGGATTTCCACTAGTTGATTTTAATGAGTTTAAAGCATTTGTGCATAAAAACTGTCCATTGTACCTGAAAAAATTAATTATCACACAAAGTAAGCTTAGAAAATAACCTGTATTTAAGATCTCAATAATAAACAAGTGCATTGTTGATAGAATAAACAATTACTTCATTACAAGAATACTTGCAAACTTGCAATATAAACTAAGCTTTTTAAGCTCTCTTCAAGAATATTAAAAACATCACTACAAACTTTATAAAGAACTGTGATCATAAAAATTTCATTACTGGATTTGATTATATCAAATCATTTTGTTTAGCCCATGATAAACAGGCTCATAATTCGTAATCAAAACATTGTTGAATTGCCAAAGCAATTAAAGATCTATTTTGATAATAGAGAATTGACAGTAGAATTCCACAAGCAATCACTTTTAAGAATACATCCACACTTATTCTGTGCTGTTATTGACAATTGTGTTACATTCCATGAAGAAGAAATGGCTGTCAATGAAGAAAATTATAGAATTAGTAAAGAAGAATATGAAAAAACCTTATTAAAGTTTTTGAAATGTTACATAACGACTAAAAAACAACAAGTTGACACTAAAATGGATTTGGTAAGACTGTATTTTGCAATAAACGATGTAAAAAAGGCTTTTGAAGTACTTGAACAAATGAAACCCACGGGAAATGTAAAAATGATAAGATTTATATCAAAGACTATTGAATCAAGTAACATCAAACAGTCAAAATCTCGGGATAAGGTTAAGAACGTAATGTGTGAACAAAAAGATACACACAGAGAATTCATAGAAATATGCAAAGAAATAGATTACCATTCTGCATACATTCTTGCATTTGAAGTTTTATCTTCATTTGATGCACAGAGTCTATTTCGTCTTTATGATGATTTGAAAAATATTTACTTGGAAAAGACTCTTCCACAAGTTCAATGCTTAAAATTGAGTATAAAACATAGTACAAAAGAACACACAATGTATGATCTATCGGTGTTTTTGATGATTAAAATTGCCGTTGAGTTTACTACGAGAAACCAACTTAAAATGGCGGGATCAATGTTGATTAAGGCAGCAAAAATGGTCTACAATACAATTGACAGATACTTAGTAGAAGAACTACTATCACTGGCATTTATATTGTTGAATATTGATCAGAAGCTCTTTGAAGAAACTTTAGAGTGTGGCGACGAAGCGGAATTTAATCTAACAGCTGCTCAAAAATTTTATATTGGTTCAAGATTTAAAATGGAAAGTCAAAAATCAGTTATAAATTTAAACTCCAATATGGATCGATGCCACTCTTTTTTAAACAATATAGTTCAAAGAATATCCAATACAGAACTATGCAAAATCAATATTGACAGCTATACTAGTATTTTTAAGTTGGATGTAGTTAAAGAAAACATACAAGGCGTTTTTACCGATAGAATTAAAATATCTGTCAAAACCCATAAACACATTGACATTTCAGTTATGGGCGTGGTTGATACTGCAGGAGCATTTTATCAATGCGAAAAAAACACCTTCTCTTCCAATAATGATATTGAAGGCAAATACATTGTTCTTAGTGATGGCCAGCAAATTATGCATGAATTTAAAATGAGAAGAATAGAAAAAACAACAGACATAATACTTTTGGACGTAAAAACACTGAAAGGTAGTGAAATCAAATCTCTCAAATCATTCGAAGACATAAATTCCAAGATAGACGAACAGAGCGAATACAGAATAATCAAGTTTGAATTTAAAGTAGGAAAAAGATGCAATTATTCATTTAAAAATAGTATCTATCAAGAAGTGAAGGATAACTTCTTATATGTTTTTGTTACAGTTGAACACAGACAAATTGAATCAAATATTGAAATCAACGAGGGTATTTATGAAACAAGATATTACCACATTTGAATGCTTAAGAGAGCCTGTACAGTAATAAGCTTAATAAATAATATTATTGACTTTTGAACTCTGTATAGTAGTTTAGGACTAAAAAAGACTATTTTGTCAAATACAAATTAATCCTCGTGAACTATAAAACAGTAAGCATTTTACCATGACTAAGCAATTCTACAAAAATCAAGTCTTTTATTGAAGGTAAGTTTTCTAGCCCCAGAATGAACAGGGCAGGGTTTGAAAAACTCCCAGAAAATAAAAAACAAATAGTTGAAAGGGCATACTTTGCAGCATACAGCAAGGAAATATCACCCAGCGACTTCTTTACAATCTGCAGACGAGCATTGAATGAGGAAGAATTTCGTTCATTATTTGGGGATGCAGCAATGACGGAGGAACCAACACCAAAGCAACACACACAAGAAGACATCAAAACAGAGTACATAGAAGATATAATGCAGTATTCAGGAATAGATTTAAAGGAAGAGGCAGACAACATAGTTAAGGAGGCAGAACACAATGTTCGTTTCGACCATTATGACAATAGAGAAGATAAAAATTCCAAAATTGACAGTCTATTCAAGCCAATGGCGTTTCAAGACTTTATAATCAGAACAGCAGCACAGAAGCAAATGAAAATTACACCAGAGGGCATTTATCTGCTATTTCAAATAGTGAAAAGAAAGGTTTTAGACCTAGTTGACAAGCTTGACATGGCTTCTAAAATCAGGACTGAGGCCAATCTTAGTGGATTTAATTTTAAAATCGAGAATGAAGTGTCAAAACAGTTGTGGTATTTAAATGAGATGGAAAGGGCTTTAGAAGATAAGCTAATGGTTAAAAAAGAAGAAGACCCAAAGAAAAAAAGGACTGTTCATGAAAGAGAGGACCTTGTGATTAAGAAGAAGCAAAGCAGTAGTGTTGCCATGGCAGCAATGGGTATTGAACAAAAATCCTGGATGATGGGTGATGGAGTGAGAAGCAGTGAGGATATTTCTAAATTTACACCCATTTATTCTCCCTTTGATGAAAAGGGATTTGATAGCAAAATTAAGAATAGGATGATTACTATGAAAGACTTTATTTATGTGCTTGAAAGGGATAAAAGATATAGCAAATCCATATTTCTCATTAATTACTATTTCAAATGATACATATAAAATTAAATTATCTTATAAGCTATGTTAATGTTGTTAATATCAGCATAGAATGTAAGTAAGCCGATGACATCTACAGACAGAGCTTGAAATTCAAATAGGCCTTGATCAACGAACAAAGCTTATGCAAACAACTAATAGATAAAAATATGAGCTTACTGATTATATAAAATTGATCCCTTTTTATGCCGATAAATTCATGCAAAATAAGCTGCCCAAAGTTTATTGATCAAATTAAATAAAACACTGGTATGCTAGCACCTAACAGCAAATAGTAGATGGCCCGGTGCCATTTCTGGCAGCATTAGCATTATCGCCAACTACTAGAAGAAGGACATTTCCAGTAAGCTTAGATCCTATGGAAGGACTGAACAATCCGTGTTTATACTCAGGTAGCCCGACAGTTTGAACATCACGAGCAAGAAGTATGAGGCGAGATCCATCGACAAGAACTTGTTCAAACCTGAAAAATGGACTTGCCAATGACTGTATGTTAAACCTAAGTTGCACACCGACATCTCCATTTGGAAAATAGCTAATATCATAATCACCTACTTTTAAACACCTTCAACTGAGAGAAGGATGGAATACTACCATAGCTAGGTTGAGGATATCCTAAAGTGTTAAAACCGCCAGCTGCTGGCATAATGGGCTCTTGAGCCATATGAGTAGGCTGCTCAGCTGCACCGTAGGGTGCAAGTTTCCAAGCTTGAAAAGTTGACATATCGGCTGACTGAGGATTTCCGTAGAAATATTGGGGATTATTGTCAGTAGAGTCAAGTAAAATATTGATATTCTGGAAAACGTCGTTTCCAAGATAATCTCCCGCATTATCAAATGTATAAACAGTTCCCTTCACTGCGTTCATCGGCACGTCAACATTCAATTCAAAACTCTGCTCAAACCCCATCTTTCCTCTGCGAACTATCTTCACTATTTTCCTGCATCCTCTTTGGAGCTCTTCTGGAGTAAGATAGAGTGTTAAAACAACGTTTTTTGGTCTTCCGTTTACTGTACTGGTTAAAATGGTCGGGGCTGTCATTAGGGGTAATTCTCGAGAAAAGAGCAAAAAATTAAACACAAGAGCACTCTCAGTGAAATTTAATCACAAAAACCTGTTTAGTTAGAACAAAAGCTACAGTGCAAGTATTTGTTTAATAGCACTATCAAATGCCAACAGTACAGGGCTTACATCAATCAAAGAAGCAAAAGCACCAAAATCCATCTATTTATGCTAAAAGCTATAAAATAGATTTCAGATTTAATATTTATAAGCTATTCTTGTCTTGTTCTAGGATGAGCTTCAATGTCAAGCCCTTATTCTATTATTAATAAATCAAGCGAAAAAGGGAAGAGTGTAGAAAAAGGAACAAAAACACATACAAGAAGAAACAAAAATTCTAAATCGTTAAAACGACCAGGACAACTCAAATTAACTATTTTACTATTCATGTTTTCTTAAAAAATGCATCCAGCTTAGTTTGATTGCCCCTTTTACTGGATTTTATTATCTTTTCAATACCATTTGTTACCCTCACCTCATCGAATCCCTTTTCTTTAACTAAGAATTGTACAAGGCCTTCTTTGTCAAGTTGATCATACATGATTTCAAAGTTTTCTGCTTCTCCAACACTTGACAGTTCATTAAAAATAAGCCTTGCTGCTTTATAATCAAAATTGTCTGGAACTTCAGGGGTTTCACTTTCAATTATGCTCTCAATACACCCATACTTCTTTATGAGATCATATGCCCTTTTATGCCCTACACCTTTTATTGTATCGCAATAGTCACAACCCATAAGAATACATAAATCTATAAAAGAGCCCATGGTCAGTTCTAACTCTTTAAGAATCGTACCAAGGTTATACTCATCAATGTCAAGATTCTTGGACTGCGAAGCATTCATATTTCTCAGAAGAATGGGTGCACCAAAACACAGCGCATCCATGTCTTCTGTCGCTACAGCTTTCACTACCCCTCTTTTACAAAGCAATGAGCAATATGCTTCTGACTCACTTTCAGCTGTTACAAAAGGTACTCCCATCAACCTAAAAAGCCTTTTGCAATCATCCACATGTGATTCTTCAACCTTTACCTTTCTTTTCTCGTGCTTATCCATTTCCTTCTTGTCTTCTTCTAACTTGGCTTGCTCTAACATCTTTTCAGCTTTCAGCCTTCTCTCATTTCTTTTCTGCAACTCAATAGCTTTAATGGGTGGTGCCTTACCATCAAAAACGTACACAGGTATAATCCCACTCTCGATTATACGTATTGTTCTGTAGAACATCCCAACTAAATGAGAAGTTGTTGCATCTTCGTATCCCAGGTTTGCACCATCTGTTCTTACTGCAATGAGAAATTGGTAGAGACACAGAGATGCATCTATTGCAATTTTGGTAGAAGAATAGTAACCCATTTTTCTAGAAACGATAGCTTTTTTACACTTTTCCTTTATCAGCTTTGAGAGCTGCTTAATTCCCATGTGGGCGAGCAAAAGAAAAAGAAAAAATCAGATGTGCTAGTAAAAGAAATATGCTCATTACCAGTAAACAGATATTAATATTTAAAGTGTTTAGTTTTATAGTAAAACTTGAAAGACACATTTATTTAAACAAACAAACGTGTCAAGACAATATAAATAAGCTGTGAATAAGCATTTCTAGTATAACTGTAAATTATTTTCTATAGAGTAATTTTCGTAATGTTATACTTTGGAGAACTATCACAACTTGTAATTTTAAAGCTAATTTTTGAAAGCCCACCAGTATTAAACACAGTAACAGGTCCAACACACCTGTCAAAGCTTTTAATTTTTGATGAGATTACATACAAATCAGGAGAATAACTCATTTTCAACCAACTTCCAAAAGCCACATTGGATTTTGAGTTAAGAACAGGAACAAATGATTGTTGAAAGACAAGGTGATAAGAAAGTCTTTGAATTCTATCTCCAGAAAATAAAACATCTTCAGACTTAGAAGGTTCCTTTGAGATTTCTTCATAGCATAAATCAATAAAGCTGTCAAAATTTGAAAGTAAGATCAGGTGATTATTTAGAAGGATGTATGAAGGATTAGGCAATGAAGTTATCCTTTCATTGGAAATTTTTATTGCAGGTTGAGGATATACTCTCACGGAACAGTAGTCATCCAAGCTAGGAACAATGATAACTTTGACACTTTGAAGCTTTCTGATAAAAATTTCAAGTGAGTCAACAAACTCTGAAAGTGTCTTAAATTCGCTTTCATTTGTACCACAAAAAGGTCCAAAAAATATAAAAGGATCGGATTCCAGTTTGAAAATACTTTCAAGATCTGCGTAAGAAAATGGTCCTTTTGAAATGACTGCGGCAATTTCTCCTCTCACAGACTTATACTCAGTTAAACCCGGAGTTGAATAAATACTTTCTACAAGAATTGAGTCTCCTCTTGTATTTGTTCCTTTGACAGCCACAACCTGACCGTTAAATAGTGAATATGAATCCAAGGCTGAAAGATCTAACTTTACAGAGACATTGCTGTTATCTGTGGAATTAAAAGCAAATACCAAAGGGTCGGTGGGTATTGCGGATACAATGTCTTCAGAACTGATCTTAGATCCTGTAGAAGAGGATATCATTCCAAAGGTGTAGAACGGCTTAATAGACTGGTAGTTGATTGGTTTAAATTCCGAAATCTGAAGGCTTTCCAAAAATAATGGCTTCATTTGCAATAGCCTTGAATGAATATAGCTTGCTTTATCTGCAGGTTTTAAATACAAATAGCTAGTTCCTTCTGGTTTCACAAGCTTTAATGTGCATTTTTTATTTGGCTTTACAATATTTCTCAGTAACTTTGACTCAATGTCCATTCGGATGGGGAGGAGTTTGGATGAATAGAAAAAGACACTTTTTATAAGAAACCATGCACTAAAAAGAAAAGAATGGCTGTGGAGTATAAAAAATTTACCTTAAAATAGGGCTATATCATTTATACTTAAGTGGAATTCCAGCAAGCACAATCACTTTTTGATATTTACAAACAGGAATGACTAAAAGTAGTTAGTTATAACAACCTGCATTAACAGCAATGCATGTGGTTAGTAAAGTTAGTCTACCACTTTACTTTCATATTAAGATTGCATTACACTTTTCAAAACACTGAAATCCATCGATCCCTCAGCTATGGCACACTTCTCTCCATCAATATCAAATATTCGAACAATGCCATTTGAGGCTTGTTCTTCCAAAAGTGTTGGATCCAAAACCATTTTCGAATCAAATACTGCATAAGAATTACAAGTGGGAAGATTTACACCACTTTGGATATTCTCAGATAGATTATGAATATTAGGTATGGCAATAGACGAAAACACATGTCTCAACCCGTCAAATATCATATCAAAGACATTACCATCATTTCTAATAACGTATATTTCAATATAACAGCCTATATTAAAAGGAGTTTAAAAACTCCTCAATCTTTTTAAAAGAAGGATTCGTCTCAGACAGTGTGCATTTCAATGTCTTAAATTCATTAGAGTCCATACCTTCTGTGTCTAAAGCCAGGTTTAAGGACATGAGAGTTCTAAGACTACTTCTGAAAGTGACCGAAAGGCTGATTTGGGAATATCCCCTGGTAACCTGAACTGTGCCATCTGCCAATGCAGAGGCGTATTTACTGGACTCTTCCATTGTTTGATTTCTTTTCTCATCCATTTTTCTCATATCCATCCTTGTGGCGCTTTTAATAGCGTTAGCTATAAAGCTAGCTTCATTTTGGCTCAGAGTCGGCATGCTTGAATGGGTGGATGGAAGATAGGATTAAGAAAATGTAGTGTAAAGTAGACACAATGCAAAACGTATGCACAGAAAGACTAAGCCCACCCATAATCTAGCATTGCGCACTTCAATGTTCCTTATTAGCAATTTATTTCCTAGTATTAAATTGCATATCCTATTTTAAGGGTGATAGCTTTGAAATACCAGCAAACCATGTCAATGCTGCCACTTCACTGTATTAGATTTACTTAAGCATCCACAATGAATGCATCTAAAAACATACCACAATTTTTCTAGTTTAACACCCTCTTTTATAACCACAAAGTAAAGAATGCAGAGAATACTTGAAATCATTGCCGCAGAGGACCACGAGAAGCTATTTACAGGAGAGAACCACCCAAACATATACGATGCAATAGCACCAATAAACAATTCGCACGAAATTAAGGAGATTGAACGAGCATTGAAGTACTACTTTGAACAGGTACTACAAATAACCTCACCAAGCAGTAAAGTACACTACGAAGCACAGAGAATGCTCATGGTCTGCGAGAAAGTCTTCTCCTCTATGGGAGAGGACATGGGAGAGATGGCTGTACAGTCAACACGAGACTTAAGTGACGAAATCGTAGATTTTTATATGGAATCGCTGAAACATTTTGCATCGTACGTGGATGAAGAAATTCTAAACGAACACATAAGATATTTGGACGGAGAATAAATAGTGAATGGTATTTTATGCATCCTTGTACAGTTAAAGCTAAAACAAAAGCAAAGTCACAGTTGTTGAGTGTTTGAGAGGAGTGACATTCCTATTATAAGCTTTAAATAAATAATACCCACACAGTGGCATCAATAAAATCCTTTGCTTTAGTAATTGTCTTTAAAATAACAATTGATTAATGCATTGAAGCCAATTCATTTACAATTAATTTATTTATTGTCCATGCATAAAGTAAATTGTGCATAGACTGTTTTGTCTTTTTGTGGTGTTCTTTTTATCAGGATAGAATACAATTTCATACATCAGAGCATAAACTTTATCGTTCTTCACAAAGGAAATGAGTGTTGAAAATAATCCCAAGTAGTAATATAATGGGTTGAGCCATGTCAACCTGTCAAAGTTCCGGAGTGAGACTCTGAAAGTGATAAACATAGTTTTATCAATCTGTCAGAATCTATAGCGTATGCACCATAGCCTTTCAGGAAATCAGAGTCGACAGGAAATCTAAATTCAATAACCGCAACATGTCCTGTGAAAACGTTTACCTTGGAAGTAGTAATATTGGAAAATATATAATAAAGCCAGTCAATAAGACGCACGAAGTTGTAACTAAATGGGGTAGCCTGAACATTGAGATTTTGGCATATAACAGCGTTCCTGAAGAATATGAACATTTTCACTTGTTGCTTTACATTTCCAAAGCATTTGAAGTATCCCCCGCTAGATCTGCAACTATGGTATTCTTTGTATTCGACACTCTTAACGGGTAGTAAGTGATCAACTATGCTGTCTATCGTGGGAAAGAAGATGGGAATACTCAGATAGTACCCTCTTGAGGCCATATAAGAGTCCATAAAGCATCCTTTTAGCATGATAACGAATCTAATAAAGCTATTGGCATACCCAATCAAATAGGCAGATTCGTCAATAAATCTAACAGTAAAAGGTATTCTTACACTGAGTAATAATAAATTCCGAGAATTCATATTGAAAATAAAGAAGGGCTTGATGGGTTTGTCAGAGGATGGAGTATGTTCTGTAAAGTCAAACATACACGAATTGAAAGGCTCAGTAAAGCTGTGGGTAATGCAAGCATCCGAATCTGATACAAGATTCATGATAATCTGACTAAAGTCATCTGAACCCATTTCAAAAACCAAATCCAAATTATTTGCATTCTTTAAAGAGAACATTCTATTTCGATAAGAAGTGTACTGATTTAGAATTTGAGGAGGGAGTTTAAATGACGTATTGATTTGATCGGGGGTGAAGTTTACAATATTTTTATACTTAGCACCGCAGAAATAATCCTTACAACGGATGAGCAGTCTTTCTAATATTCCAGGGCGATTATTTGGGGAGTAAAAGTACACAGGGACAAAATCATTGGCAAACTCACTGTCGTCATAATCATTATTACTTGAGTCACTATAGTTTTCATCGTATATGGGGTTTGATTTTAAGCTTAAATCTCCATATCCATTAATAAACGTTTTTGAAGGCGAGTTGATGGGGATTTTCAAAGAGATTATTCTATTTTTCAATAGTAGAAATTTTAAATAGAAAATGGTGGAGACAATGCCATTTCTTTCTGACAAGCACTTGTAGGTAAAAAAATTATGAAAATCAACATTAAGGATAATAGAATCGGGCCATACATCAATGGGAAGAGAGGAGAATATAGCATGGAGGTGTTCTCCAATAAGATTTACAAGTAGATCTAGTCCTAAACTTGTGTGTACTTTTATGCTATTCTCAGTTCCTTCAATAGTACAAACACTGATATCAATGATAGGAGGAAGGTAGACAGAGGAGTTTGTAGTTTGAATAAGGCTAGCCTTCCTTGCCATTGTTGTATCAATGACATAGAAGGAGTCAACGCATAGTTCTGAATCGGAACAAAATGCCTTCTTCATCTCCTCACTGACGTAGTTAATTTCATAAGTATATTCATTGGAAATGGAGGATTTAAAGGAATATATAAATTCAGTAAATAGGCTGCACAGCTCCTGAAGAGAAGATCGATACATACCAATTGATTTAGAGTTGAATGTAGCCCCAGACTGTACCTTATTTTTAAAAGCCAGAAGATTTATCGTTGAGTTTAGCTCAAGGACATAGTCCAGCCTTTCAGATTTTAGGTCAACTTGAATTGTAAAAGGAGAATCTTGCTCATTGATTGACTCAAAAAGAAGTGTACCATAAAGATTGAATTTGACACAATTGATTTTTTTCACCAACACCTTGGGAATAGCAATCCTAAGATAGACAACCATCTCTTCATCTTTATTAATAAGCGTGCTACTGTTATTGAAGATAGAGTGATTGGTATTTTCACTCTTACTTTTCTTAATGTCCACATCTGCTGACACGTAAATATTCCCGGCTCTTTGTCTATATGCTAGCATCGACTTGGTCACATCGTAACCATCTCTGCAAATAGCTTCCAATATAAAATCAGCTAGAAAGTGTAAAGGATGCTTTCCAATCCAGTCTTCAGGATTCTTTAAATACTCTCTAATCTGAATGGGAGAAATAAGCTTAAAATATATCTTTACGATGTCTGTCAAGTAGAGAAACACATTCTTAGTTGTTAGAACCAAAACCGCGGCTTTATCAAATGCTTCAAGAGAAAAAAGGGGGATTCCCCTCACAAATCCAATAAATGTTCCCTTTTTTGCTCTTAGTATATTTTTAATATAAAATGGACTATTAATTTCGGATTTCAATTTTGAAAAGAGTATTTTAGACTGGTCAAAGTATGAGTACAGTCCGTGCTTTGAATACACTTCAGTGTCCCTTATTTTCATGTAGTCTTCAAGAAGATACTTGTCATCAAAACAAGTGTGGAAAATAGAGAATTTTATATGCGATAGGTTTTCTAAGGGTTTGTCTTGATCGTAGGCAATTTCAATAGGAAAAACCCTAAAAAACGGCCTTCTTTTGTTGTCATCGCTAGCATTATCATCTGACTTATCGTTATGGATGTCATTAGAGAATGAGGAAGCATTTGAGCTATTAGTACTATCATTGCCACAACATAATTCGTTGATTGAGAAGTCAAAGCAAAACATCCGACTGGCTAGTGTCACGCTTATTGTCTCTGAATTGAATGCATCGATGAATACTTTCGATCTATCCCAGGTTTTCTGGAATATCAGAGCTGACACTATGTTGACTACCCCCCTACAGTGAGGCAGCTTTCGAGGTGGATCAGGCAGAGACAGAGAATACTCAATAGTCGTGGGTAAAACATTGGCCCTTAGCTTCATAAACGAATTAGTAACTGAAAAGGTAAACCTGGGAAGATCTACTCTAATAAATGATTCCTCAGCCCCATCAGCGAGTTTCTTGATTGATTTAGTTTCCTTTTGAGTTCCCTCAAGAAACCCATACGTAGACAAGTCAAGTGTTGAATCAATCTGTATAAAGTTGCTATTTAAATAATTAGAAAGCAAATGATCAAAGATTATTGAGTGTTGGGAGTTTTTCTTAAATAAATAAATAGGAAATACATCACCACTAAGACTGGCAATGTTAATTGAGTGGGGATAGTCTATTGAAATGTAGAAAAGATCAGGGGGAATGATTCTATGCTCGCCTACGAGTATTTCAGAAGGCACTATTTTCAGACTTTTAATATCATCTTTTTTGAGGATAAATTTTTGTAGAATCTTTACAGAAATCAGCAGAACATCATCAAAGATGATGTTCTGTTCTGACAATACTTCATCCAAGACTGATTGCTTGTCATCTTCAAATGCTAAGCTTGTTTGCTTATGCTTGGGGAAGGAAATTGAAATTTCCAAATATTTGATGCCATTCAAGTTTACAGTTAATTTAACGGAACTTTCAATATTGAAAAAATCAACAAACCAATGCTCTTCAGAAAATAGACGCTCAAATAGTGCATATATGGGATGATCCTTGTTTAATGCAGTATTAAATGAAAATTTGTCAGAATGAATGGTCCAATCACGAATCCATAATTTTAAACAATGAAGGGCGCTTTGGGATACATCATCATTGACTGTCATTTCATTTAATTGATTCTTTTCTGACGTCTTGCTTGTATTTGCAGTTTTTTCAGAAGGTACACTGAATATAAACAGCTTACTAGGCCTCCATCCTTCTATAAACAATGGTTGGTCTTTCGGAATTTTGTTTAAATCCTTTAGTATGCACCCTTCTACTACTTGCTCATCAATCTTTGCATATTTAATAGTCTTACTTGACAGATTGTCATCTACATCGAAACCTACTCTTTCGTATCTTTTTACAGTGTCACTTAAAAATAAATCAGGCACATCTGGCCCGCCCATAAGAACTGAAACAGCACTGAGCCGCAATAATTTCTTTCCTCTCGTATTATTTAGCTTTTTGAGTAACTGTGGTATGTCCATAAAGTTTCCAAAGTTATAAAGAGGAATATTGATAAAATAAAATACAATGGAATCATCTGGATCCTCGGTATTAGAGAGCTGCTCACCTGGAATAATGTTTGTCAGATATTCAAAGGAAGACACTACCCGTGTGTCGTTTTTTATTAGATAATCCTCGGTTGAAAATGAAGTAACAAGGATTGAGAAGCTGGCTATTCCATCGAATGAAAGTTTTATACATCCTACATTAAAAGTGAACTTAGAATCTGAATTTAGAATTGAAAAAAACTTCTTTTTTATGCCTAATTGAATGCACGGAATATCATTTAGTTTATGCAGACGCATAGACAAAAAAGAAGGATTTACAGAATCTCCGCCCTTTATTAACAATTCAGATTTCTTTCTTCTAAGTATCTTTGGAAAGCAAAGGGGAAGGAAGCAGAATCTAGCCCTGATCAAAAAACTAACCTCAATTGAAAAATCAAGAGAATAAAGATCCAAAATGGGAGTGTTGAAGCTTACGTTTGTGAATTCAAGGACAGCTTTAAAAATGAAGGGCTTTTGTTTATCAAACTTAATATTGCTTATTGCTATCCTTAGAGATTCTGCCGAGCTGTCATAGCTTTTTTCATCTAAGAACAAAGCACCATTTATATCTGACATTTCAAGGAAAACTGGACAGGTGCATTTGGAAACATTCATAGTAACTTCAATGTACAACGGCCCACCAGTCTTGTTCTTAACATTATTCTCTGGCTTTTTTATGATATTTACTTGTTCCAATGCCAACTTCCCCAATCTCAGTGCCCTGAAATGGTAGACAACATAGTAAGCTCTATATAGCATAATAGAAAAGCTAATGATGATGCACAGTAAGGTTATGTATCTTTTTTTCAGTGTGAACTTAGATGATTTTCTTTGAATGATAAGCGGCATTGGGGAATGAAAAAATTTATCATTTGAGCAAAAATTAAGAAACAAAAGTTAATTTTAGAGAGCAGCTCGAAGATATTACTTGAAACAAGACATAGCAGTGAATGGCACATGTGCATTAAGAACATGACTGCATTCTACTTTTTGTAGTAATACTGTCGTAATAATGAGAGTTTGTCAAAGTCAGATAGATCTCTCAACCTTGCCTTACTACACAGCTTTGAAATAGCTATCTTGAAGATACTAGTCTGCGGCTAGGCAGCCTTATTCAAAGTATTTATCAGCCTGCTGATCTTATCTTGCTTTACTTGCCAAGCACATTCTCATTAAAAATTTTTAAAAACAGTTCCTTGAAATAAAAATATGGCAAAACGAGTTTCAACGGATGAAAAGCTTGAAAAAATAGTCAATTTCTTTAAAAGTACACCCGAAATATACTCAATCAAGGACTTGGAAAAGAAAATACCGAAAGAGTGTGGAGTATCATCGATGCTTGTTCCTGATTTACTGAAGAAGCTTCACGATGAAGATCTAATCTCGGTGGAAAAATGTGGAACATCCAACATCTACTGGTGTTTTCCCTACAATAAACATCATTTCTACTCCTGCGAGACTGAAAAGGTAGCTCTTTCAATTGAAGTGTTCAAAGAGGAAAATATGAAAAAGATGGAACAAATAGAAAAGATGAAGGTATTAAAAGAAAGCACACCAGAGAGGGAAAGTCTCTTAGAGGAGTTCAATACGTTAAAGAGGGATGTATTGATAATAGAAGAAGAGAATAAGCACAATGCCGAATGCTCTGTTGAGGAGTATGAAAAGTTCATTAAGGAAATTGAAGATATGAAAGAAAGTATCAATAGGATTACTGATAATATCTTTACTATCCAGGGACATGTGTCATCTAAGTACGGAGTATCAAGGAAGGACTTTAATAGAAATTTTGATGTTGACGATGAAATGGACTATATCAACACGTCATAGCATAACAACTGCCCAACCTTGAACCCATATCTGCTAGATACTGGACTGAGGCCTAAGAGCTTGATTGAGAATAGGCAAATCTCTTCTATAGTTTCTTTAAAGCTTGCACCAAGCCTTGTCTTCTTCAAATAAACAGTGTTGAGAAAAGATAGCAGTACAATTTCTACGTCCTGTCTTTAATATTCAATTATCGTATGTTCTTTTCTTCTTAAAGTAAAAAATTTTACAAAATTTTCATCCCTCAAATGGCTTTTCAATTGAAAGTTCTTAAAAGCACCTCCAATCAACTTTTGAATAGAAAAGAGCTTCAGCTTGAGATAACCCACACTAATCAGTCCTCTCCAGACAAGAAGTCTGTCACGGAGGAGCTTAGTTCAAATTATTCCATCCCAGCTGAGCAGATTTATGTATATGGCATGAGAACCAAGCCTGGGCTGCACAAAACAATTGCCAGTGCAAACATGTACAGTGCCTTTGAGGACCTAAAGAAGATTGAGAGGTCTTTTGTTGTCGCTAGAATCACAGGGGAGAAACTTTCCAAGATTCCAAGGAGACAGAAAAAGGATGCCAGGATTAAGAAGTATAAGAGATTTGGAACTCTCAAGAGAAATATGAAGAGAGCATCCAGGAGAAGACAGGATTAAAAGTAAAATTTTAATAGTACTTTGCATTGTTACTGTTTGGGTAAATAAAAATATATAAATTTACAGCTAAGAGTATAAATTGGTTAGTATTTTGATAAGCTTATTGAATATTTGATGTGTTTGATGCCCACACTTATAAATTCTCAAAATAATACTTGAAGAGCCTTGCCGCTCCCATGCATGTTTCAAGCAATATTTACAGTGAGCTTCAGCAGAATCTTTCCATTCTAACGAAGTTTATTTACTGTGTATCTCTCGTACATTATACTCACACAACAGTCCATTTGTGCAGCCGACGAACAATGAATCGTCCACAATCTTAGCATCCCTAATATCAAACAGAGACAGGTAGGCCTTTGATATTTTTAGATCCAAATCTACAAACAACAGTCTTTTATCCTGGACAAGGACAAGAATTTCTTTATACTTGAGCATTTTTCTTGCTTTAATCTCTGTGAATATTTTCTTTTCGCATGCCATACTTTCATTGTTACTTTGTATCCTAAAAACATAAGAGAGAGTATGTATAAACATGAAGCGATCATCGACACAAATTGTGAGTACCGGATCTTTGAAATATTCTACAACATTTAGTCTTAGCCTAGTTCCACACGCTCGGCTGGTCAGACTTTCACCGTCGACGGCGCCTACGATCCCATTTTCAAATCCGAGAAATATTTTATCTTCAAAAATACAATGGGCTGAACACAGTCCGTTTGAATCTGACGGGATGCCGACCATTCCATTGCTGCTGTTAAGAATACTGCACTCCTTGTAAAATTCAATATCGAAATCGGTCGTTTCTTTGCCTTGCGAATTTATAGATTGAGTTAATAAAGATGGATTTTCTAACGATAGACATTTATCATTGCCATTTTCACAGATTTTGTAGATCAAGACTCTATCATCAACTGTGATAAGGTTATTCTTGTAGAAGAAAGTATGTGCAAGCGCATTAATTTTATACAAGCTGTGTAGACTGTATTTAAAATAGTACAACTCTGCTTTAGAAGCAAGGAAATATCTGTCTTTGTAAAAACAGCCAAATACCGGCACGAATGTCAACCTACAAGCGAGGGGAATAGGACTTCTAAAACAGTACTGATGAATATGAGTCTGCGTTATGATAAACACAAAGTCCTTACTTACATCAAAGCTTGCAAGACTGTTTGAATTACGATAAGTAAAGCTGAGAAACTTTTTAAGCTCAAGGATGCACATAACTCTTACAAAGGGCATAGAAAGCAGTCTACTTAAAACATTAATGTTTACTTGTTAGTGTTTGAATGTATGTGTGGTTTACAGACCGAATTTAGCTCCAAAATCCAGCAATATAGTATTAATGATATTAGACTACTTCCTGTATATACAGAATATTGCTAAAATCCAGATTCTTCCTCCATTGCTGATTTCATTCCCAATATCTTGTCTCTATCCACGCCTTTGACAATTATATCACCAGTGTAATTTTCCTCATTGCCAACTAAAGCACTAAAAATACCACAGACATTACCGTTCACACTGCACAGCACATCTCCTGGGGACACTCGGAAAATATAGAACGATACCAGACAGTCGACATATACGCTTCCGTCTTCTAGAATCTTGCCAGCCGGCAGCACACCCTCTATGGTAAAGGAGAGCGGAAATCCACTCAAGTTGTATGAGTATTGAAGTAAATGCTTGCATAGCTGTTTAAATATGCTTGTGGATGGATCATTCAAGTATTTTGGACGAATAGACATGCCGAGCTCCATTTTTACTTTTTCAAAGCCCATTTAGCAGATTTTTGGATCCAAAACTTTCAAAAGAAGAAATGTCGGAATGTTATTTCCAAGTACCTACTGTTAAAATTGCATCTTTACTGACTGGTTTGTGTTGGAAAATAAAGGATTTTGTTTAGGTCAGCACACTGTGTATGGGTATTATTTAGTTAAAATTTATAACTCAAAAGTGTCAAACATTTAATATATTGTGTCTGATGCCCAACAGTTGAATAAAGAGTTAAAGATGCAAAAGCTTGGCAGTTCAACCAGAACCAAGCCAGCCTGCTGTATTCATTCTTATGAGTCTATAGATTTAATCACAGCCATACTTATGGTCTAATGCTGAAAGACCAACACAAAATGCATTCAATGCCGACCAGGGATATGTGAAGTCTAAAATATACGAGTTTTGCTCTTCTTTTCCAAACGTAAGTGTGATATAAGTTGGTTCTAACGGATGAATAATCTGAAAATTCTTCACACTAGGCTTAGTCACTCGTCCACTAAAATTAAGACTAAAGCTATTAGTTTCTGTGTTGAAGTATGGCTTTTTATTTACAAGTTCCAACTCGTCTATTTTTATTTTGAAGCTCCTTGGTTTTCCTTTCTCCAGAAATGACGATTCATATTTAATTTCTATATTATTTGTGTGCTTTACTGAGTATTTCGTGCCAAAAATATTAGCTCTCATTTTGCAAATGAAAGCATTATTACTGTCAAAAATCTCAAATCCGCTTAGACACCTCTTGGCCCTGAACACTTTACAGTTATCTTCTGTAAGGAAGTAGTAAACATTAAAAATGCTACTTTCAATGAGAATCTTACTCCTTATGACTGTTCCGAGAGGTTTCTTTTCTAAGAAAGTCTGGAGTGAAATCTCGGTTCCATTTTCTAGGTTAGGATTATTGATTAGACTCGAGCCTTCCTGCATGCTATTACCAGAAAAAAAGCTGAAAAGGCTTCCGAGAATGTTTGAATATATTTGAAACCTAAGGAACAAATAGAAATTGATGTTTCGAAAGGGAGCCTTGCTATTTAACGGTTGGAGTTAGATAATTGGCTGGTAGATTGAATGAGATTATTGCTGGCCAATCCAATGTGCAGCTATTTGTTGATAGCTCACACATAGAAAACCCATAAATACGTTTATAAATGTGTATTTTCAATCCACAGTCTTTTTATCAACCAATTCTTTTCTTACCAAATAAATCATTTTGACATCTACAAGAATAAGTTGAGAGTAGCTGCATGCAATCAAAAAAACAGGAGAGCATGCTGAAAGCTTACAAAAACATTGCACTTTGCTGGTGCTTTAAATGCACTTTCCTACTTGACTCTCTGCCAAATACTTTTTCAAATTGATCTATGATATGGTGAAGAAAAGTATATCAATATTAATCCAACACATAATAGCTTATTGCAAGCATCTGCTCTTGAAAATCACAATCACATCGTAAGTGCTAACATCATGGAAGCTGGGTGCATTTCTATTCATAAATTTATATTAGCTGACAATCAAAATTTTCAATTCTATCGAAAAATGACAGTAACAAAATTAATCAAAAACAAACATTAGATCATAAATTTGACTATTAATTTGTCATTTGTCTATAAATTTAGATTTACAAACAGAATGTTGGTGTCAAAGTGTTATTAAAAGAAGGTACAAAAGTAAAAATTTGCATGGAACTTTTGTGGTCAAATACACACAATTCGGTTATATTTTGATTAAGTTTAACTTTATATTTTGAGAACGTTGGCAGATTATTGCTGGAGGAGTCGCAAGACTGTGACAACCCAAAAATTCAAGTTTTTTGCAAAAGAATCTGTTGTAAATAGACAATTTGTATTGTTTTCATATTGATTGATAATACATAATTCTTTCGCATTTTAATGACTTTTTAATTAAATTTAAATAAAATTTAGTGAAGAAAAATTCAGACCCAGGCAATATGAAAATGAAAGGTGAAAAGGATAATAAAAGAACAGATAAGAGCATGGATGTGAGAAGAGATGGCGCATCTTATATAGCCAATAACTACAACAGTGGCGAGCTGTGCCATAAGGATGCATCTTCTGCCACAAAAATGAACAAGGATGCAGAGAATGATATATTACAAGCCAATCAGCAGTTTAAAGGCATTAGAAAGCCATCATGTATTAGTGAAAAGATAGCAAAAAACATTGACAGTAAAAGTGCCAGCTTGAATAATAAGCTTATGCTGCACACTAGTTCATATGGACATGGATTGCACACACCAACAGTAGAACGACGAGAGTCTTTTGAGCCTTTCAAACATGCCTATAGTGTCATCAACAAAATAGATTACCACAGCAGCAGAAATAAGGTATATTGCGAAAATGTGCTATGTAGTACATGTGTCAAAGAGCAATCAGAAGCAAATTACTATACACCTAGAGTTTTTTTAAAAGATTATACCTTGAAGGAAGCTATGAACAGCAGCGCTTTAGACCATTCAAATGCGACATTAAAAGACAATCTCAATACCACAGACCTGTACACCTCCGATGATGCTTCACACCAGCCTGGCAGCACTTTCACCAATAAAAGTAATCCACAAGAATACTTTTCCGAAGTAGAAAAGGTTTGTGAGGATCAAACTTCTGTGCATCCAGACTTCTTTGGTGATATGAAATCTGAGAAAGGCCAGGTGCATTATAGATTAGAGAAAAAATCGCCATTGAGCATTGAGAGCGTCACATCTCACTCCTACGTAGACTTCAGGGGTAAAAAGGGGCCAGTTAATATAAGTGAAATTGGCGGAGATGATAATATTAAAGATATGCACCGAGAAATGAGTGTCGAAAGTAACACCTTGGGAAAGCTAAGAAAGAATGAGGAGAAAGCCCATAATAAAATTCATAACGACAAGCTAGCCTTACAGGAAAACAAGACGAAAAAGCACCATATTCGGCTGAAGAAAAGCCATACCCCGGAAAAAGAAGGTGTCCAATCAAAAGATATTGAAAAGGAAATTGCCGAGGGTGGCCATTTAGAGTCAAAGGATGACAGCCATCAATTTAACGTGTATAGCTATAAGTACCCAGTTGATAAGGAAGACAAAGGGTTCAATATAGATAAAATGGGAAGCGAAATTGGGAGTCATCAGGATACGATGCATTGTGACTCAAAGCAGACACAAGAAATGAATGAGCTAGATGGGACAGAGAAGAGTTTATTTGAGAATAAGGACTTGTCTGAAAGCGCAAACTTGGGTAAAGATACTTTAGAAAATGTGAATGAGTCTGAGAGTACTGCTATTGAAACCTCCTATCCAGAGGGGTCGGAGTTTAACGAGCCTGAGTTTAACAGTAATGAGGACAGTCTGGCAAACTATGAGATAGATATTAAATGTATGAGCCCACAGGAATATGAGGGATTATTAGGGATTATCAAAATGAAGAGAATATTTAGGGACCAATTGTACAATAGAAAAGGATATAAATACAAGTCAGAATTTCAAGTCAGAGTGTTAAACGATATTTTGAAGATAACGCCTTATCCAAATGCAGAAGTGTTAGATGCTATTGGAGTACTTTTAAATCTGAAGCCCAGATCTGTTCAAATATGGTTTCAGAATGCAAGACAAGCAGGGGAGGCCCAGGTGAATCGTGAGCAGTTAAAAGAGTTGAGAAAGACATCCAATATTGATACAAGGCAAATATTTGACATTTATTTGAGAAATAGGAGCTCAAAGGATTAAAAGACAACATTCCTTGGAGAAACAGCCATTTTAGTTTTTCAATTTGATAGGAATGTGGTATATCTCTTTAGTTTGTATTCACTCTACTTCAAACACCCTACTTATGCTAATCCACATCTTGGATGCATTGGCTGTGGTCTATTTTGTATTTATTTGACATCATTATTATAAACTTTATTGAACAAAGGAGAAAGTTTCTAAAAGATTTTAATTGATAGTTCTGCTGTTCTGAAGCTCTGGGACAATAAAAACTCAAAACAACAAACTACTTTATCTACAAGTTTGATACTTTGAAATCTGTTATATGGACTCGTAAATTAACGTAAAATGAATGTTCTTTCTTGTCTACCAAGTTCCCATTCAAAATATAAACTCACAATTTGAACACCCCTCATGTCGAAGAAGTCAGAGGAGAAGAGCACCGCTGTAGAGCCTCTTCTGGATCCATCTCAAACAAGATATGTTCTTTTCCCGATCCAATATCATGATATTTGGCACTATTACAAAAAGGCAGAAAGCTCTTCTGGACAGTCGAGGAAGTGGACATACACAATGACCTAGAGGACTTCGATAGGCTTACTAAGGATGAGCAACACTTCATCAAGTATGTTCTTGCATTCTTTGCAGCCTCTGACGGCATTGTCAACGAGAACCTTGTGGAGAGATTTTCATCGGAGATTACCAACTTGGAGGCAAAATGCTTCTATGGATTCCAAATAGCAATGGAAAACATTCACTCGGAAATGTACTCGAAGCTTATCGAGACATACATCCGTGATGAGGACGAGAAGAATTTCCTCTTCAATAGTATTAAAACCATACCTTCCATTGCCAGGAAGGCAGCCTGGGCCAAGAAGTGGATCGAGTCGACCACGGATTTCGACACAAGAATGATTGCATTTGCTTGTGTCGAAGGAATATTCTTTTCAGGATGCTTTGCAGCTATCTTTTGGATCAAGAAGAGAGGACTCATGCCTGGACTGACATTTTCAAACGAATTGATTTCAAGAGATGAGGCAGTCCATACAGAATTTGCCTGTCTCCTCCACAAGCATATTGTGAGTAAATGCACGAGAATCAGGGATATCGTCAGGGAAGCTGTTGAGATTGAAAAGCAGTTTATCACGGAGAGTTTACCTGTGAGTCTTATTGGGATGAACTGTGCGTTGATGTGCCAATACATCGAGTTTGTTGCAGATAGGCTTCTTTATAATCTTGGAGAGAAGAAAATATTCAATGCTAAGAACCCATTCGACTTTATGGAGAATATTTCACTGATGGGGAAGACCAATTTCTTTGATAAGAAGGAGGCTAATTATCAAAAGGCTTTTGTTGGAATCAAGGGAGATGGCGAGAGCGATAGCTTCAGGACTGACGTTGATTTTTAAGTAAATAAGCTTAAATACATTGACTTTTTGCAATTTTGATTGACTTTTAACTTCCGACATTTATCTTTATAAGTGCTCAGACTGCGGCTGTAATAATCTATACATATCCATTTATGGGCTGAAGGCCTACGCTGCTCATTAATACTTTTCGGGCTTTGTTTTTTTCTATCTTTCCGCTTAATACCATACAGAGCTGTACAACAATAAGTAGTAGATAATATTAACTCATATGCATTAGGCGTACAATTTAATTTATAGGTTGCACAGACTACGTAATTCACTGGCGAGGTCTTCTCTCTCCACCTCCTTTTTCTCCATTGTATTAAAAATCACAATGCTATACACTCCCTTTTGATATTTCATTGTCACCAGTGAACACCCCAACACTAAAATTGTTCTTCTTGGCATACTCTACCTGCTCCATGTAGTTTACTCTTTTACTTGTAAAGGTCTCTGCTCTCAATCCAAGTGCCCATATTCGATTTAAGATGTCCATCCTATCTTCTAAATTCAAACCATAGCCTGAGCCTACAAATACATCCCACTCCGGTGTTATGGGAGGGTAAAGTGCGAATATACGCATTACACCTACCGAAAACCCGACACAAGGCACATTAAGTGTATTGCTGGAGAGAGAAGCACACAGATTGTCGTATCTTCCACCACCAACAACAGATCCAACATCGACACCTTCGTAGACAGCCTCAACAATCAACCCTGTGTAATAATCAAGGCCCCTTGCAAGACTAAGGTCAAGTTTTATATTCTTAACCTTGTAAATATCCAAGTATTTTAAAAGCATTTCAACGTCATCCACACCCTTTTCAAACTCCGTTAAGTCTAAAATGGACTCATCGCTACTGTTTTTCAAACTCAAAGATGAAGACATAGTATCGGCAAGCTTGGATGTCTTAATAATTTCCTTAAGATTTAGAATGGTTTCCAAATCTGTTTTATTCTCATTATTCAATATCAATCTATTGATTCCGCTCACTGATCTTTCACTAAGCCCTTTGGTTATTAGCTCATTGTTAATCTCTTCAGTAGTGAGTTTTCCCACTTTGTCTATTGTTGAACATGCAGTCTGTTGTAGATCCTCTGGCACCTTGCATACTTTTAATAGGCCTGTTAGTATTCTCTTATCGTTAATCTTGATTGTAAAGGCGTACGGAAGGCTGAAAGCAATCAAAATGTCATAAATCATTCTTAAAATTTCAGCATCATTTACCATTGGTAATGCTGACCCACAAATGTCAAAATCAGCTTGTATAAACTCTCTGAGTCTTCCTGTCTTGAAAGATGGATTGTCTCTCCTAAAGACATTTGCAATTTGGTATCTACGTATCTTCTGAATCCTATTCATGCAAAGATAACGGGAGAATGGAACAGTCAGGTCATACCTCAATGAGCATATATCCCCACCTTGGTCTTCCAAGTTGTAGATTAGCTTAGCGTCTTCTCCGTACTTGTTCATTAGAATTTCTCTGAGCTCAAAAGTAGGTGTGTTAATTGGAACACCATTGTGAGATTCAAAGATGCTCTTTACTTTCCTAACGATTTCCTCAAGAGTAAGTGATTGCTGGGGATTTAAGTCCACTGTTCCTTTTGGCGTTCTTAAACTTACCATACTAAGGAGTGGCTTGAGCAATTAAAAAAATCAAGAGTGCGAATTGTCCAGTGTACATTGCTGCAGTTATTTGAACCGTTTAAACATATCATGTGATTGATTATCTGTGTTGATATGTGTGGTACTGTTGTATACATGCTAGAACGTAATTGAGTATAAGCGGAATAGTCATACAAATAAAGAAGCCAGGAGGAATACGTCAATGCACAAGCACAGATGCCTCTATGACAACCGCTTTATTATTAAAACTAAAAATTTGTCATGTTTCTGCAGAAAACTGTAAATTAGCTTTTTATTGAAAATTCAGTCAAGCATTGATACGTTTTATTTAAATCTTTGCTATTGCAAAATATAGAATTGGCACATATATAATAAAGTTGCCGCTGGAGCAACAGCAGTACACAAGCCCTATCAGAAAATTTATGTTTGGAATAGGGCCACACAATCCACAGAATATTTTGCAGTGCAAAGAGACAACAAGATCAAAAAATATTCTGCTGAGCTTTCTTAAAAGCTTTTCTTTGTTTCGGTTGCATGCTTGCGAATAATATCTAATGTCGTAGGAGGAGACTAAAGGCATTATACACAATCCAAAACATTTAATCATCAAAACAAGTCTAAAGGCGCAGACACCTAAAGGATCTTTCAGGCACTATCTTTGACATTTTGTATTAAACCCCAGCTTTTAGCGACAATGACCACTACCATGAACAGTATGCTAAAAGACAGAAAAAGCTCTGGATAAAATCTAGGCCAAAGCTTGTCCACTAAAAACAGCTACTTACAAGCTGCTTAACATTTGTAATTAAAAACTTTTATTAATATTACTCAGATGTGTTTCTTTTGATAAAGTAACGATATGAAGCCTTCAACATAGTCACGGATGAGTATATGATTGCAGCCATCATGCAAATGTTTATCAAACAGAACATTGTAAAAAAGTCTGCAGTAGACTGCGTCAGAAATATATTCTTAGTGAATAAACAAGCAATGCCTTGAACAAATGCACCAAGAATAATAACGATGATCACAAAAATCTTTTTGAAAACATTTTGTCTTTTTTCCTGTACATCGTCAGATTTCAAATAAAATTTATGATAAAAGATAAATACCGCCATCACAAATATTTGAAGGTAGATCCATCTGTAAGGATAAAGCCTAACTAGGTATTCAAGGCCTAGAGGCATCTCCGTGGGCCACGAACTAGTCATTAGTTCATAAGCAACTTTCAAGTTCACTAGACAGATGGACCCAGCCATATAAGCGTTAACAATGCAGACTGAATACATCATCTTGGATAGTACTGCATTTCTAAAAAGAATGTTTAGCAACACCAGGGAAAATAAAAGGTACATCGTTAACGATGCCGAGTTTAAAGTTTTAAATGGATCTAGGAGCGTTGAAACAGTGTCATCATCGCAACCTTTCACAATGCCACACTCACGGAATAGATTTTCAAAGTATCTGTCTGTTCTATATTGAGAAAATATGTCTTGGATTTTTTGAGAAGTAGTTTGATTTTGATCGATTTTCTTTCCAAGATCGAATAGTTCAATGGCTTGGTTTGTTATCTCGACTTCTTGCTGAGATTCAGGGAGATTAATAGCATCCAGAAATAAATTCCATATCCCCAGTAATCGATCATGCAAACACGATTCCCACATTCTCCTCATCATGTCCATTGCCCGACTGTCCGAAAACAAATTCCATGTGTGAGTCTCTGTATGTACTGTGTAGTCACATTCTGTCATGTTTTGATATGTCGTATTCATGATTGTGGGTCGTAAAAAATTTTTTCTTAAAAAGTAAAAAAATAAAAAATAATAGTACGGACAACAAAGACAACCTGCTGATACTAAGACAGTATATTGTCTCTAAAACATATTTATAGGAATAACATAGTGCATAAAAATCATTACCAAGTTGTGAGTATTCCTTATTTTACAGTTTACAACTATTCAGTCCTTCAACCAATTATTTCAAATCTTTTTGTTTTCTGCAGTCATATCGGCAGAATATCGCTATAGATAAAGTGCTGGGTAACTACTTTCTTTCCTAATACTTCTTCGTCATACATTTTTATCATCCCATGGTTAATCTTCTGCCAGGGAAGCTTGCAAATATTCTTCAGCATTGGTGAGCGGTTGCTCATGCATGATTCTCTAAACATTCCCTTTCCAACCAACTCAACAGGCATGCTGCTGTTAAAACACTCTGAAGATCCAAAAAGATAGGGAAGAAGTAAATAATCATCGATGCACCAGCATCCTCTTGAGCCAGCGGGTTCTATATTGAATTTTTCAACATAAAAGCGTATAATTCTAAAGTATTCCGTTAGAATGCTACTCACCTGGCACAGCTCTATCTTAAGGCCTCCCCTGCAGTCTACTACTATTGGTGGGCTTTCAATCTTCTTATCTTTTCCATCGACCAACGAATAAAGATAACACAGAAAATTTAACTCGTGGCCAGTCCCAAAATCCATTCTAATCTTGTTTCCAAACGAATTACTTAGATATGGGTTGTCTGTTAGCGTCTCTATTTGTTCTATAACTGTTACCATTGCAGGATTAGCAAACCTACCCTTTATACTTGACAGCTCGGTATCTTCAACTATTTGTCTTATCCGTTCAATAATAAATCCTCGGGGAAAGGATAATTGAGGCTCATTCTTTATACTGTTGTCGATCCTAAATATAAAGTCAGTTATTATGCTATAGGCCTTTGTTAATCTGAAGTCAGTGTTAGAGCTCTTAATACTTTTCATTTTAATGAGGAGGGTGATGAAGGAAAGTTTGGTTAAAACAACCAAATTAGCTGTTCAAATAAACGACAATTATAAATAGTACCAAGACAAATCAACATTTAGTAGTGAAAAACGAAACAGCACGTCTACTAGGAAGAATACCTAAAGAGAAATCCGGATCGCTTGATTAAATTGAACCACGCTATATATTGGCACCGTGGTTTTTACCCACTCATCCACTGTTACTTCCATAGCCTTTTATTATCATTGGTTACTTTAATTAACAGAAACTAATGAATATTGAGGTTTTATTGATTTTTAGCCAATTACATTGAAATATATTTAAAGTTTCGAAATGTAGTAACTTCATGATTAGTAATAATGATGGAAGTAAGAAACCTGGAAAAAGTACCGACAGAAGGAAGATAGTGGTAGTTAAAAGAGATGAAAAGGAAGTTGAGAAGCTACAGGTATAAAAGAAGGATCGCATTAAGATTCAATCTGAGGAGCATAACCTGTCTCCATTAGCTAAACCTAAACAAAAAGAGCCAATAAAGCCTATAATAGTCGCAGAAAAGGAAGCAGATTCTAGAATAAAAACCGAGGCAATATCACCACAATCAGCCACTAACATTGCACCATTGGAGGGTTCGGTGAGATCAGGGGAACAAACAAAAAAACGGTAATAAAGGGGGAAGGCAGTTGTAATGAAGATAAACCAATCAATAATGGGAAGGGAACCAATCAAACATTGAAAATTGAAAATAAAACTGCTCAAGAAAAAGGGGTAGTAGAAATGGCAGAGAAGAAGGATGATTCTGATAAGACTCTCAAAATACAAACGGACGAGAAAAACCTGGCACCACTGGCTGGACCTGCACAGGAAGAGCCAGTGAAGCCAGCAGTTATCGCAGCAAAGGGTAATAATACAGGGAAGAAGACCGAAGTGATATTGCCTCAAGAGACAACCAACCTTGCGCCACTAGGAGGACCGATGGAAGCCGAGGAGGAAACTAAAAAAGTGGTAATAAAGGAGGCCAGCAAAGAGAAAGAGGCATCCAATACAAAACCTAGCAGTGAGAACATGGCTGCACATGAAAAAAGAGATAAGGAAATGGAGTCTAACATGAAAGATAAGGCTGGTACAAGTAAAAAGCCAGAAGATAAGATGGCATATCCAGGCTCGAACACCCAGAAGACGTGTGCGAAGTGCAGTAGGGATGCCAAGACTTGTAGGTGTGCAGAAAACATCCATAAGCCTGAGAACGGTGGTGTATTTAATAAAGAGAACAAGTGCACAAGATGTAATACGAGCTCCTGCAAATGCTCTACAAGTAATAAGTCAATGGGATCATCGTTATCTGATAGTATGTCGTTGCACTCTTCATCTAGCGGCAGGCCGGTGATGCCTGCCCCAAGCAAATCCAATTTGCAATCTAGGGCAGAAAGGCCAAATACACAAGTAAGAATAGATGAAAACAAGAACAGAAACCATAGAGTTGGAGACAGCTCAGGGACTGGCTTTGCACCCTGCAAACTTGAAAATCCCGACAGTGGAAGCGTTATCCATGAACTTAGAAGGAAGAATTCTGTTATTGCAGAGGGTTTTATTTATAAGAAGAGGGCATTCTTTTTCTGTTTTTGGGTTAAAAAGTATTTTGTTCTTTTGCGAACTGGGGAGCTCATGTGGCTTGAGGAAGATGGCACTGGCTCAGGATATGGAAACTGGAATATTAAAAGAGCCACTGCTTTCAACAAGCTTGACTATGATGGATATTCGCATCCACACAGGCTTACCTACTCAGTCGAGTCTAGTACAGGATACCTGGCCTTTGACACTGATGCAGAGAGAAACTACTGGTTTGATATGCTCCAAGATGTTTCAAGAAGTTAATTAAAAGAGATTAACTTTAGAAATGATGTTTAGTCTATTTATGTATGCTATTTTTAGTTGTCTTCAACTTGGGTTTCTTTCTAGTCTGCATCTTTAGCTGTTATATCACACAAGATATTACTAGACTGATGGCAGCAATTACATCGATCATCCTTGTACTTATTTAAAATACTATTTAAGGCCGATGGCTGCTCAGAACTTCCAAGCAAATTGATAAAGGCATTCTTGTTTATGGCTAACATAAAATATAAATAAAGCCAATGCACAGCCTTGATGATAAAAAGAGGATCGTACAAAGTGCTGCAAGTTTTAGATATTTCGCATTCTCTTTATTCTCAGATAGAATCCCAGCCAAAGGAGGTGCGGAGACAGTAAGAAAATGCTTACTAGAAGGAAATAATACACAGCACATTGTCTATTTCATCGATCCTATTGACTTTGGAAATGGCACTCAAATTGAGATTATCAAGGAAATAGTCGTTCCCTTGGTTTCGAAAAGAGACTTTAAAATTCTAAAAAGGGAGGAATACCAACATGACACAAAGTTCATATCAAAGTTAATCAAAAATAAAACCTTAAATTAGCCGACACAAGTTTACTGTAGAAATTTAACCAACCTAGAATATTCATATCAATGCAGAAAATGTCGAAGGAAAACAGGATATAAGGCAGTGTGATCTTTACTTAGTCACTTTAACTAAAACGTAAGACAAAGAACGAGTCTCTGTCTGCACCTAGCATCCTCCCGTGTTAGCTTGACATCGCAAGCAAGCTAGCCAATTTTATTTATTCGTTCATCTATTTTAATTTACGTGTAAGCATTACTCATTTGATCTTGTCTCGTAGACGGCCTGCATAGCTTTGTAAAAGAACTGTGGAAACACCTTCTTATCAAACTCAATAACATCGTAGAAGTATTCTGGAACATTGCAGTTCTCGGACTCTTTCAGTGTAAAGATGTAATTCTGCTCTGCCTCCTCGAGTGTAAAACCAAGCTTCTTCTTTCCTGTCGTGCTTGTCCTTTGAATTGAAAAATTAATAAAAGATCCATCCTGGTCAATTGTTATTCCAAGGAGTTTAGTATAGAGAAGAACATCGCTCTTTAGGTTCCTTAAGAAGGAGTTCTCTTCCCTATACGCCTCGATGAGCTTATTTTCCAGAGAAGTAGAAATATTGTTTGAAGTGCTAGTGATAGCTGGCTGCATGTGATTATCCCTTTCCGTGTCTGAAAAGTGTGTGCTGGATGTTGAGGCAGTCTCCTTTGCGATTCTAAGGGGCGTCATGGCCTTCTTCTTTGGTGTTTGGAAGGTCAGTGTTCTTTTCTTGTTATGTGCCATGGGCATGACAAAAACCCAACAAACAAATAAAATCACCGTAGCCGTTATAGGCCATTGCATTGGCATTTGCTTGACTTACTACTGTCTTGACGTGCTACACTGTTTCATAATTTATATTTCAAATACCTAAGCAGAAACACACAAATGGAATCTGACCACTATACTATTCAATTTAGAAAGCCAGCAAAAAGAAGTGAGCTTACCTTAGAACAGGTCCTACAAAGCAAAAATGATCTAAAAAATATTCTAAATGAACTATTGTGTATAGAAAGATTTAAAGAGAGGGACATTGATCTACTTGATTCATATTTAATTAAGAATGTTAAAGGAAGAACACTTGGAGATGAGCTGCTGATCCTTCTTTTTGAGGTATATCTGAAGGTGGTTGGATTTGATCTATTATTTGAGCAATTGGCTATTTCAAACGGATTATACGAAAAACACAATAGTACTATTTGTAGTCGTGATGCTGTCCATGGCTGTAGTGATGATAAATGGATAAAATATGAAGATAAAATAATCAACAAGTCGGGATTTATTTGCGAAAGGGCCAGGACGGTTCTTTCAGAAAGGCAAGACTGCTCCAAATTAAGCATACTGGCCTATATCGCTTGCCTCAGCATAAGTGAGCTGTACGAGGGGGAATATGAGGTGTATTACATACTAGACTATATCTTGAAGGAGAGAATCAAGACTGTGGAAGTTGGTAGCAATACAATACACTGCAGTGCTAGTACGAGGTGCAAAGACAAGTCTATAAAACTGAGAGATGGTGTTAAAGTAGAGCATGCTAACTGCAAAATAAACAAAGAAGATGGCTGCAATGGAATTAGCACTCAATGCAAAGGGAATATGCACAGTATAATTGATGATATATCCAAAATTAATGCCAAAAGTAGTAATTATCCACAAGTTTGTTACCACAGCCAAGGAGAAGTCCAGACCCAAAGAGGTAAAGTGGCAATAGGCTGGGCCAAGTACTGTAAATATACTTTCAAAGGGGTCTTATTTGGTTTAAACTGTGAGTCTTTCTTTGAAATAGAAATGCTGTATTTAAATGATATTCGCTCTTTGATTTCGGTGATAACTGTCAAGAAGTCCCACAAATTATTATATGAAAGATTAGACTTTATTTTGAAGAACAAAAGCTATTTTAAATTCAACAGTCTGCTGGCCAACAGCCACAGCAATAATACCGGTAGTGTTTTTTACACCGAAAAGATTTTGCTGAGAGTGGCCGATGAAAACCTTACAAAGCAATTCATTATTCAAACGCAGGTGCCTTTAAAATGCTTTTTTAAAATTTGCACAAGGATGGACTTCAATTTTATGAAATGCATGAATTTATGCATAGAATACTTTGAGGAAGTGCCAGATGATGTTCTAAGCAGAGTGATTGCCAGTGAAAGATTCAGAGTAGAAACGTTCCAAGCATTTAAAAAAATAACAAAGACAATAATAGATCGCAAAATGGAGCTACCTCTAGACAAGCTACTATCAATCAAAGAGCATTACCATAGTGATGGAAATGCCAAAAATATTCATAATGGCTCCTTAAGATTCAATAACTGGAAGATTGAGGTAATCCATAGAATCAACTATATCCTCGACTTAGCAAGCAATCAACAGCTAGCATTGGACTCCATAGCTCCCTTTCTCAAGAAGACAGTGTCCTGGGATCATCCTGAAATATCTCTCAAGCTAGTGTTCAGAATTAAAAGCTACAAAATTTTTAAAATGTTTATTAACAAGCTAAAGGCACATGATAATGGACTAAAAGATGGATTGACTGGAAATAATACTAAAAGAACTAAGAAGAATGGAATACACTATGTTCTATTATAAAGTATCTAGACTGCTTCTCAAGACTGGCTTGGTTACAAGCAAAGAGGACTCATTGGAAAATCAGTTAGGTTTGGACAACAGTCCAATGTCCTTGGCCATTCTATGCAAGCTGACCAATGCCAGCCAAAAGACATTGCTTCCCGGGCTGTACTTCAATAAAAGTTTGTTGACGGTTTCTAAAATACACTCAAAATTCGTGCTGGGAGTCAGGATGATTTTGTTCATGGATTATCTAAAGGATATGACATTGTTAAGATTGGAGAATGGCCCCCTAAGTTCCACTGAGCTGGTCATTGACTCAGGTGATATTAAACTAAAAAAAGGCGAGATGGAACTGACGGTTAGTGCGGTTTGGGAGATAACAAAGAGGCAGAACGAGACAGGTGATAGGGTAAAGCATGACTATAAAGCGCTTGAAGAGGACAAGGAGTATGTCAGCAAGGAGTTAAACATCAACAACAAGAGACTGGACAATATTGACGAGAGATTAGAAAATCTTAGTGGGGGAATGGATGGCAGAGATCTGACTAGTGTTAACATAGAGATTGATATTCAGGTCAAGTACGAGGATAATAGGCTGAGGATGTCAGTGAATTCAAAGGAGGCAGAAATCAAAGTGAAGAAAATATCAAAGATAGAAATTTGTGAAGATTTTTACGGAACTTTGAGCAACTTTATTTATGCAGAGACTACAGAGAAAGCCCCCGTATTTTTTAGCCACAGCAATACAAACAGATTGTTTTCTGAATTGAGGAAGTATGTAAATGAGTTTATTGTTCCTATAAATAGTCTTTTAGAGTACAAGAATAGAAAGGGCGCAGTGATCGGCAGAAAAAAGACATTGTATTTAGGAAGTGGAAGCTCCAATTTTGTAGAGATGAAGAACGTGCTGAGCATATTTAATTAAAACGAAACATTTGCTAATACGAAAGCTATCACACTGTGTTTATTTTACTTCAGGACTAAAGACAGGTCAGGGTGATATTTTACTGAAAGTAAAGCTACTCAAAACATTAAGTAAGTCTACTTTATATTTACTTAGTACTAACAGTAATAAGGTCTATCTCCCCATAGATGACTGCCGTCCAGCACCCCAGACAAACCACTAATATCTTCTCCATCCTCAGGTCTTAATGTCGCACTGTTGTCATGTCCTGGCCCAGAGCCTGGAAATCCGTAATTATACTCTTTGCATCCACCATTTCCAAATCTGTCATTGTCGCCGTATCCACTCCAGGGCGAAAATGGTCTTTTATATGGATCGCCCCCACCAGGGTATTTGCCATCTGGATAGTAGGGATATCTATTGCTTGTATGCCTGCCCTTATTGTGTCTATCTCTCTGGATATAATCCTTACAGTCAGCTATGTCATCTGAATCTTCATCTCTTTTGCTCCTATCTTTTTTCTTCTTGTCTTTGGCACTCTTTCCCTCCTCTGAGTTAGAGTCATCCTCATATCTTCTCCCTCCTATTCCTAGGAACATCTTGATACACTCCAAATCATTCTTAATGTCAAGATAACTCTCACACAGTTTATTATAACATATTCTAAACCTGGCGGCTTTTTCAAGGGTACAGTCCACCTTCTTGAATTTATTTCCTTCTACAAACCCCAGACAGCTATCTCCCCTCATTAGAAGATACTCATTCGGAGCATAATAAACTATTCTAAATGATTGTTTCCCACTCTTGCTGTTACTCTTCATCGAATAGCTCTTTGGGAAGAACCAAAATCCCGATTCTGTAAGTGCCTTTCCGTCCTTGGCCTCTAAATTCTTTTCTGAAATATCCTGCATAGGATTGAGCTTGATGGAAAGAGCCTCTTTGTAATCAACTAGCTGGAGCTTGTCCTTGACAGCGCCTAGGAACTTGTCATCATCCACTAGTTTTAGCTTAACCCTACCTAAACAGGATGTTAGACCTATAAATAGTACCATCATTACATTGTAAGGTATTAATGTACAATTTAGGATGTTTAGGTGAAAGATCATTGGACTTTGAGTAAAAACCGAAGATATATATGGATGAAACAGAATGTCAGAAATGGTGTTTGAGGATGAAACCAAGTCTAAATTGGACGATTAGCATTTAATTGCTAAAATATACTACACGTGCATAATTATTGAATATTATTTACTATTGGTGTGTTCTGTCAAACATGACACTATATTCAGTTGCGATAAATAGATCGGTTGCATGTTTATAGCTATATTCTGGCACGCTTAAGCCATGGCTATCTGTACGATTGTACTATCCTTTCCTTATTTCTAACTATTCTTGCTCTGATTCTGTCTAAAAATGTCTCCTCACCGCTCAAAAGCTCGTGCATAAAATCTTTTGACTCCGGTTCATTCTTAGTGTCCTCAAGTTTTTCTGGTGCTGGCTCCACGCCAAGCTGATCAATTTCAATCTGTCTTCTTATTTTAACGTAGTTAGGATTCTCCTCTTTCATTCCAGGATGCTTCGCAATTACTTCTAAGCGAACAAGTGATCCAAGATCTCCTCCAGCCTTTTGGCTTTGTGGGATGGTATTTAAACCAAGTGATACAGCCATAGCTAGATGATATAACAGCATTTTCATTGGTTTTGTCGAATATGAGGACATTTAATTTAAGGCAAAATGTTATGACATACAACACCTTATGTATCAAGTGTCACACGGCAACTTCGTTCAACATCAAATGTTATAATGGCTATTCCATAGAACAGCTGTTTTTGCTATCATCTTTACAACATGATTTATTTTGATATATGAAACCAAGGTTCAGAGTAAAACTTTCAATTTATTCAGAATAATGCATGCTTGCTATATGTTGCTTGCTGTATTGGGAACGGTTTGTGCAGTGATATTCAGGGACAGTAGAAGTAAAAGATTTCTAGCAAAATCCGATAGGGGACTGTTTATGACGCCATATCCTGAGGAGGCACTAGATATAAGTCTGCAGGAGACCGAGCTTGACACAGTCTCTGTGGTCCTGAGCCTTGGAACAACAGCTCTTAAAGTTAACAAACGTTCAAAGAATATTGACTTTGGAAAGGTTAATAGAAGGGATCGTGATCAGTTCTTCAAACTTGATTTAACTCCAGGCGGCTCCTTTATCTTTCAGCACAAAGATTTATGTCTGGGAAATATGCCTGGGATAAGATTAGAATCTAATGCAACGCTAGGCCTGATAGACTGCCAAGACAGACAGAATTTAGTATCGTTCTTCAAGTCCGATAGGATTGATGGCCAGGTAAGAAAGAAAATAGTGGCATATTATGATCCAAATCCTAGTTCTGATGTACCGGCATACATCAATGAGCCAAAGATTGATGTGGAAAAGGCTGAGGACGGAGTTGTAAGACCAGAAGAAACGGGGTTTTTGAGGGGACTGTATAACCGAGTAACTCATCCCTATTAATTAAATTTCAAATTGTGAAATTAACTTGTGTGAGTTAGTCTTTCTTGAATAGACACCTGTCTTCACAGATAGCACCACATTTTTTCCTTAGATAAGCAGCCCTAGTTCTATAGCTTGCCGCATGGAAATATGTGCTAATTGGAAGATCCATGAGGTTTTTTGCATACACCAGTTCAAGTTGGCCAATTTCAATATACATCCAGTATGCAGTTGAGGCTTTTGACTGTATTTGTTTAATCTAATCTTGTGCATGGGGCTTTCAGCGGTTACATATTACTTGCAAACTGTTGCGGGGTCAAATGTAAGGCCGTGATCCAAAATAAGGTTTTTGTCACTATTTGAGAAGCAAGCCCCAACTTTTTTAGTACTGAATAAAAACTTTTAAATCCCAAATCTAACTGGTCACTGGCTTTTGGCCAGTTATTGGGGTATAGTTGGCTGTTCATTAGATACAAGAAGAAAAACAAACAAAACATGTTCTATGTTTCTTTTTCCTGAAACTTCAGACCTCCATGTGAAACTCTGAAGACACATCCCTCTCCTCAAAATATTATCTCTAGCCCTTCCTATGACAGCTGCATACATTGGCCCTCGTAGAGACGAGAGACCAAGAGACGACAGGCCTAAAGGAGGTTATGCTGGATCGAAAAGACGATTATGGCAATAGATATAGAGGTGATTATGGCGATCATCCAGCTAGACCATCTGTTTCGACAATCACGGAGCCTACATCTTGCCAAGTCTCAGTTAATCTTTTCAAGTATACAGGAAAGAGCCTGGTTCTCCATCACTATGCTGTTACCTTTACTCCAGAGATACTGAAGAAAAATATCTTCTCTAAGTTCTTGCAAATGGCTGAGTCTAACAACTTCAAGGAACCTTACGCCTTTGATGGTGGCAATCTTCTTGTTTCTACTAAGAAGTTTGCTGATGTAACATTCAGGATACCTATGAGGGAGGAAGAATTACTGTGCAAGATTGAGTACAAACATACCTATGATACTGGTGATATGTCTGGTGATGTTGCAGCCGCTCTACAGTGTATGGAAATTATCTCACGATTCTACCAAAAAATTAACCATTGTGTGGATAAGACGAAAATGTTCTATCTTGGATCGAGGCCTTTTGATCTCGGCTGTGGACTTGAGATTATACCTGGTCTTTCTTCTTCCATTAGACTGAGCAGGGGCGGTGTTTATCTTAATATTGACGCTACTTTTGGTGTGTTTTATAGAGCCATACCTTTGATTGATCTGTTTGTAGATCTTGCCAGGAGCCGAGACAAAAGGGAACGTAGGCATGTTTTAGACCCACTAAGAGATGATATGGGCGCCAGCTTTTACTACGACTTTGAAAGACTGATTAAAAACTTACAGGTTGTAACCACTCATCGTGAGAGGAATTTTTCTTTCAAGGTATCAGGACTTCTAGTTCAGCCTGCTTCTTCAGTTGAATTTGAAGCTGATGGTAAGACATGGACAGTTGCAGAATACTTCGCCAAGACGTACAAGCCTTTGAGGTACCCCCACCTGCCCCTTGCTGTGATCAAGAAGAGAACCTTGCTTATCTACCTTCCACTTGAAATACTGAAGATTTGCCCATCCCAGAAGTATACTCAAAAGCTTGATGAGGGTATGACTGCCCAAATGATCAAAATAGCCGCTGAGAGGCCTGGGAAGAGATTTGAGATGATAAGGGAGAAGGCTGCGGAGCTTGCTGTTCTGAAGAACAGCATTTTAACACAGTTTGGTATGGCTTTTGACAACAAGATGTTAAACTGTAAGGGAATAATTTTACCACCTCCCCAAATTACATTTTCTGATAGCAAAAAAGTTAACGTGAATAACGGAGGTTGGAATTTGATTGGTGCACGTGCAATTGATGGTTGCCGTATTGATGAATGGAAGATTTTTTCCTTTACTTCTACTAGCATTATCAGAGATAGCACCATTGACTCCTTTATTAGTCTTGCCTCGAGATATGGCGTTAATATCAGTCCAAGGCCGCAATCAGTTGTTGTTAGGGACATCAACGAGTTCTTTGATGCGTCAAAGGCTAAATTCAATCTTGTAGTTCTACCCGACAAGAATTCCCAGAGATACGAGGAGGTTAAACGTATTGCAGAGACATATCAGGGTGTTTATACTCAATGCATGGTTGCATCTAATATTCCCAAGCTTAATAACCCGTCCTTCGTCTCTAACCTTCTTCTGAAGATTAATGCCAAGCTAGGTGGCAAAAATTGGGCTATTGACAAAAAGATTCTTCAGGACAAGCCTACCATTCTGGTAGGTATTGATGTTTGCCACCCTGGTGCTGCAGATCTTGAAAGTCCATCCATTGCTTCTGTCGTTGCCACTATGGATTATAACTTTATTGGCTACAAGACTATTATTGAACAACAAGAAAGAAGACAAGAAATTGTTAGAACACTTAAGGACAACATTAAGGTCATGCTTAAGAGCCACTATGCTAGTACCTCAACCAAGCCAGCTAGAATACTTGTTTTCAGGGATGGTGTTGGAGACTCTATGTTTAATGCTGTCTATAGCTGTGAGATTGAGGCTATTGAGGACGCCTGCAAGGACTTGGATGCTAGCTACAAGCCTGAAATTAACTTCATCATTGCTCAAAAAAGACATTCCATTCGATTCCAGACAGGCAACGGAAACAATCTTGTTCCAGGCACTATTGTCGACGAGATTGGGTCGCCGGGAATATTTGACTTCTATCTTGTTTCCCACCATGCACTGCAGGGCACAGCTCGCCCAGTCAGGTATGTTCTCATTAGGAACGACTCTAAATTTACAGGATCTGAGATGTACGCGCTTATTTACAACCTTTGCCATTTGTACGCTAGGGCTACCAAGTCAGTCAGTGTGGTTCCTCCAATTTACTATGCTGATCTTGCAGCAGCCAGGGGCAAGTGCTATCTTGAAAAGAACAAGGACGGCATCTTAGTTATGAGAAATTGCGACAAGCAGATTCAGAAGTCATTGTATTATCTCTAGAAAATCTTGCTGTATCTATGTGACATTTGTTAAGCTTAATTGATAGCTATATAAACTGACATTCGAGAAAATTTTTATTGTGTTCTTTAACTGCACCGCGATGTCTATATTATTTTAGTACTTCGATGGCTTAGGTTGTATTCTAATCTTTGTTTTAAATGCCATTTAACATGCTCAATGATTTCATGCTTTTTTTTGCCCCACTTGTCTTCAAGGATGCAATTTACGGTAAAGGAGCTCACAAAATTAAACATAAAATTCACTATCAGCTCAAGTGTAAGCTTTGCCAATTCGCTCCGCAGAATCCTGCTCGGAGAAGTCCCAAGTATTGCCATTGATGTTGTTGAAATTAAAGAGAACAGTACGGTTCTTCCTGACGAAATGGTAGCAAATAGACTTGGTCTTGTCCCGATAAAATACGCGGGATCACTCATTCCAAAGCAAGAGTGTAAGTGTGATGGCTTCTGTGACCAGTGCTCCATCAAGTTTATCCTCAAAAAGCGTAATGATACAGACTCTGTTATCTCTGTTAATGGCCAGGATTTGCAGACAGATGTTCCTGGTGTGCACTGTAGTGCTGCCCTCATCTTGAGGCTTGCGCCTGGGCAGAAGCTGGATATGATATGCATAGCTACTATAGGAACACCTCAGACTCATGTGAAGTATTGTCCAGTAACCGTAGTTGGGTTTAGTTATGATGTACGAAATAAAACTAGAGAAACCAAGCTATGGGCTGAGGATGATGCCAAGAAAGAATGGCCAGGAATAAACCAGAGCGATGAAATAGAATGGGGGGAGATTGAGGATGTTGAGATGAACCTGGAGGTGGTTGAGGGGATGGGAAAGCCCAAGGAGGTGTTGCTAAAAGCACTTGAGATATACAAATCCAAGATGGAGAAGATTTTAGATTCGATTTAGTAAAAATTTAATTATAGAAACTGTGTCTGAGCGGCTATACTTTTTCAATACTTTATATAGTAAAGTGACCCCATATAACTGATTTAAACGTCGTATTTTCCACCCTGGAAATACAATGTTAATGCTGTACTCTGCAACACAGCCCAGCAATCTTGAGAAAATTCTTTCCGAGAATTATTTTATGAGAGCACAGTCAAACCCTGTTCAGATATCAAAACATGGCGACGTCTTTGTTGTTGAGCACGGCAAGACTACAGTTTACCTGCCGGATGGGTCTTTCTTCGTTTTTGAAGAAAATAGCAAAATTACCGAAAGCTTTGCGCCGAGTTTGCAGAACCCAACAAAAACATTTGATTTGGCACTGCACATCTTTACAATAGAAAACACCGCCAATGCATCGTTACACATTGACCCGCTTAGCCAACATCTCTTATTTAGTCAATCACCACCTCCCAAGTTTAAGATAATCAACGCTTCAAGTTGTGATAAAAGGCTAGGATGCTTCTTTGTTTGCAGCAGTCTTAAGGAAAGAAACATTATAAAATCGATCATCAAGGACTGTGAATTTGTGGAGATTGGAAAGGATTCTGAGGATATTTACTGGAATATTATAAAGATGATAAACTAAAATATGACGCAACAGTATTTAGGGCTAGCTTTACAAGCATAACTACGTATAAACTAAACCTTTATTTAGACGCATTCTTAGCATTTTGAACAAATTGATTGGCCAGTGAATGTACTTCTTCAATGTTTCCTCCAACCGTTTCTTCAAATTCTAGCCAAGCCTTAAATAGCCTCTTCATTTCGTTCTTTTTGAAAGCCATGCCTGCCATTCTTCTAAATAAATTCCTTTTGTAGTTTCCATTCTCAAGGCTAGCATAACACATCCAGCTTTCAAATGATGTACCAATGATATTCTCTACCACGATTCTTGGCGTGTCTAAGTTCTCATATGCATATTTTATTGAATACTCAAGAAACTCAGGGTTTTCTTTCATAAATCGCAACTTGTCCCCTTCAGTATTTAAGAGCTTTTGAAATCCAGAAAGATTTTTTTTCTTGGAGAAGATCATTCTCACGGCTTCAATATCACTGAGCCTTTCAGATGCAAATCCTGGAAATTTATATCCGGCATATTTTAACACATATCGAATATCCGATTCCTTGAGCATTTTATGATCAATCAAGTACTGTAAGTAGAAAAGAGATAGAGAATCGTTCTCTCTGATCTGTTGAATATACTTTTTGAATAGCTTTATAATATTTTCGCTGTCTTCTTGACTTTGATTGCTCATCGCGGTATCAAGCCTATATTTTATATATTCTACTGCTCTTAGCTGATTATTTTTGACATCAGACTCTTCCGTTACCTTGAGCCTTTTGGGAACTGAAATGGCTTCATAGTCGGCTGTTCTCTCCAAGGCCTCACTTGCCACTTGCTTAAACTTGAACGTGCTGCCCTTTATATCAGATATCAGACCCTTCATCGTTTTTTTAACTTTTCTGTCATTACATTCTCCAACGAAATGCTTGTACTTAACTTTATATATCGATCCACATCTCCCAACCAGCTCAACCTCTGCAAGTCCTGGCGAGATATCCTCAACAAAGCAGTATGAACCAGGATAGACATTCTTTACAAACACGTTAATTTCTTCATTGATCTTTTTGTCCTTTGCTTCAATCAAAATTCCTTTAATATGGCCATTTTCAACGATCTTGTGGTTATTAAGATCCTTAATAATCCTAACAGTTGCTCTTTCAATGGGATTATTGATCTCAACAAACTCGAACCCATCTGAATCCAAAGACGCCAGCATGGCCTCTGTTTCTCTCCTCGGATCGTTAGATTGTAATGTTATTGGTCCCGACCCGTGTTTACAGTGAAATATTGGCCTGCTGTTTTTAATTTCAATTGTACCCTTAGTTTTAAACCCAGGAAAAAAGTCGTCGAACTCGAACACCACAACTTCTCTGGTCTTTTCGTCCTCAAAAACGGTTTTGACTGTATATAAAATGTTCTCATCCATTTTTTTCTTTATAAAAGTTAGCTTGTCATCGTAGGATTTCAGAACTGTTACGTTATTTTCAACAGATAAGACAAAAGTATTGAATATTGTGTTAGGAAAGAAGATTTCTGCCTTTTGGTTTATTATTTTAACCGGACATTGCTTTACATCGACGGGAGGCTGATCAAACGAATACGACTTGCCCAGACAGTGCAGCTTCTTTTTGGTGTAGACTGCAAATCTGTAGACTGGCTTTGTGCCAAAAATCATGGGAAAAAACATAAAAAAGTTGAAAAATAAAATTAATGTAAATTCAACATGCTGCATCATCCAATGCACATTATACAAACACTACAAATCCTGTAGTTCCTAGCATATGTTTGATGGATACATGATTTGAAGATGAAATATAATCTTGAACAAATATACGGCCCACACTACAAACCAGGATTTAATTTTTGGCATCAAAGGCTAAATAAAAATTGCTAATATTAAATTAATTTAAAAATAGGCTTAACACTCTTCTTCTCACGCTTATTTTCTGCATCCAGAGCATTCACATCACTACTGTCTTAAGAGCGGGATCTACACACTTTTAGACCTAAACTTATGGATTTTGCGCCAGATACAGGCACCAGAAACACAATTTTTCATTCCCAGTGCATAGTTTCTAATTTGATGGGTTGAAAACGTACCATTTAGCAATGATTGTTTAAAAAGAAAATGATTAAACGGGAAGTCTTTAAACGCAGGCTATTTATCCATCTGTGTAACTTTTTTCTTGACAAGTTTTACTGCTTTACTACCTGCATATAAAATACTTCCCAGAACAGCCATTCTAGTTGCAAAATACGACTTATAATTTGTCCTCTTTGAGCTCATTCCATTCACAACAGCCCCTGCCAAGCATCCCCAAACTATTAGTTTTCCTATAATGTTTCCACTTTCTAAGATCCTCGATTTTTTATGAAGCATTTTTGAGGGCCCAAAACACAATAGTGCCTTAATTGCACTACTATGATTGTAGTTCATTTCAAAGATTATTTAATAAAACCGATTAACCAATTTTACTTACAAAATACATATTAGGTAAAAATGCAAATTGATCATATGCCGCAATTGGTTTGTATTTTTATTGATTGCCTCCATTGGTACAAACCCAACCTAACGGATTATAACTAAAGTAAAAAGGGGCAATATGCTAGGCTTGTTAATACTGTGCCTAAGCCCAGTGTTTGCGCAGGATGACGATGACACAACAGCATCGACCAAGTCTCGAACAATAGACCCTCCATCGTTTCTCTATAGAGAAGACATGAACCCTATTGAAAGAGTTGTATTATGCATCATTTTTATACTCATCATCCTCATAACAGTCCTACCAAAGCCTGAATATAAAACATATCAAATGGCCGCACTGAATGGTTTTGGGCTTTACATTGGTGCCTATGAGATGATATTCAGATATTTTTTCAACCTAACCTCTCCTCTGTTAATGATACCCTGCATTGCAGCAGGTGTGGGTCTAACACTGTATGAACCTACCAAGCCTATTGTTGGATCGTTAGCCTGCACATATCCAGCATGTATGATTATTCTAGCCCTGTTGGGAACTCAGTCGAGAATTGTTGCAATTATCATGATGGTATTGTTTTGCGTGGTGCTCCTTTTCCTTTTTAGCCATGTTGAATCGATCTTTGATCTTATTTGTAAAACGTTTATCCACACATTTTTAGCTTGCTGCATTTTGGAGCTTACTGTGCTAGGTGTACTGAAGAATGGATTGACAATTGACCTATTTTCGTTTGGGCTTATGGAGACAATATCCAGATTTATCATTTTATTATTGTTGATAGGCTTTGTCTTTATTACACCTGTTCTTGCATTCCTATCGAAGCTGTTGCTTGGAGGAGATGGAAAGTCAAGCGCTGATGCTGAGCAAAATGTTTGAGTAAATTGTTAAAACTAAACGACCGAACTGTCTGTATTGAGTATTTTACCAGTATCATGTATGCTGCACGTCGCATTTTATTAATGTGATACAAGTGTATTAAATGATAGCTTCAGATGACATTCATATGCTAGTATTTTGTCAAGGCAATTAATTGATCATCTGCACATATCATGATTTCAGCGTGTTTTGGGCCTAGATTTCAGATGGAAAAGATGGAATTGGAACAGAAAGTAAAGCGGGTTAAAATTCATCTAGAATCTTTGGGATTCTCTGTAAATGACGGAATCAAGTATGGACTAGATCTATTGGCATATACTGATGATCCCAGCAGAGTACACTCAAAGTATGGAGTTATAATCTCAAATGGCATGACATTCCAGCAGCTTGTAGCATATCAAAGAATCTGCACGAGCAACAACAAAACTCTCCTTATAGCACTTGTGAATCAATTCGACATCGAGTACTTTGAATGCCGCCGGTTTCCAGTAAAGTTCAGACAGGATGCTATCTCTACTTCATCTGAAGAAACTGAGGTGCGAATGAGCTAACCCTGAAGAAAGATGCATATTCACACAGCAGCATGCGTTAGTGCTATTAAGAACGAGTATTTCTGATTATTCGTTAAATAGCAGCACACAGCATATTACAAATATACTTATGATGCATAAAACCTGTATGTGGTATTGCCACCATACTGTTTCAGATATTATCCCTTTCATTTTTGATTTGACGTTTAAAACAATTTATAAAAGGTATCCTATGAGGTATGCCAAACCAATACATATATTAACTGCTAAAACATTTTGTTTTACAGGTTTTTATAAAGATTTTTTCTTTTCAGGCTATGTTCATTCACATAGGCATAATTACAGCAGCTTTATGGGGTTTTGACAGATTTACAAGGCTTGGTAATCCCCCGGTGGATTCCGTTGCTGCCGATGCTGAGGCAGAGAGACTTAGGGCCGAAGCCAACAGGCTTGAGAAAGAAGCTCTTCGTACAAATTCGCTGGCAAGAAGCTATTCTTCACGTAGCTACAGCAGCGGTAGCAGATGGGTTTATGATTAATAAATCTTAGTGATTTTCTACTTACTCGTTTTTATTTTTACCAATATTCATAATAGCAAAACCCAAACAAAACCGTGCTTTACAATAGATAATTCAATGTGATAGCCCTGGCCAATCAGCTGCCTCTTTATTTGAGCTAGAGAAGTCACTATATTGTGATTCAGTAACCCAAAGCCAACTTACGGCTTCCCTCCGAACTTTAACTTTTTTCTTCCCATTGTTTGAAAACCCATATGGCAAGAACAGCAAATGCTGCAAGAAAACAAGTCAACAAAGCCCCGACTCCAGAAGACACAGCGAAAGAGCCAGCAAATAAAGTTCAAGAATCTCAAAAGAAATTTCCTGTACCGGAGAAAAAACCTGCCAAATCACTCTCAGTAAGCGTCCCAACGATTGGCCAGAAGCCCAAGCCCACACCAAAGAAGGTATCAAGCAATATTTTGAAAGAGATCAAATATTACCAAAGCAACATTGGATTTCTCATTCCACGAGCTCTTATTGTCAGAATTGTTCGTCAGGTCCTGCTTTCCACTCTCAAGATTAGATCCGGCGATAATTTCAAATTTACTGCTGTTTCTCTTAATGTCATCCATGAAGCAATTGAAAATCACATTGTTTGTTTATTGGAGCTTTCATATATGGCAGCCAGACATGCAAAGAGGGTCACACTCTTTCCAACTGATATAAGGTTGATTAACAGAATACGTGGTGCCAGTGCACAGTAAGATAAATTGTTTCCTTTAATTAGTCTTGTTATGCCATGTGGTAAAATTGTGTTGATGGTCTTAGGCGATTGCATGCCAGTTTATGTGGTTGGAAGCCTACTACGATTACACTGATTGAAAAGTGATTCTTGCACTTCCGCTGGGGCCTTCTTGAAAATTTTTAAAACAGAAGGCGCCGACCTAAGGCGAATACAAAGAAGAGCTAGCTACAGATACCAACCCTATTTCTATCGGCAGCTACATGTACAAAGGAAATCGCACAATATGCAGATGCATCATAGCAAGGAACAATAGATTTCTATAAAGTTAAGATAGTGATTATGATAAAGTGACTAAATGCTTTGTGAATCAATGATAGGATAGATGCTACGAAGTGGAGAGCTGAATTGTGGCAGTACCAAGGAAAGCTTTATGACGATGAATTGGTTGCATGCAAAGTAATTGATTAGTGAGGTTTAAGTGTGGCGAGGGTAGAAGATATTAATGATAGAGAGATATTTTCTGTTTTGTAAGTTTAATTGTAGCCATAAGCCATACTGTCTGTCTCTGTGGTGATCTGTTCTATGAGCCTTGCCACTTTCCATAGGGCTATGGGAGCATTTAAAATAATAGTGGTGTGGGTCTCGATGGTCTTTGTGGATAAGCCATTATTTCACTAGAGGCATAGAATATTACCGACAATTAAATTTGTTTAAACAGTACACAGTTTACTGAGTTTCTGAAATAGCAAATCTTAGAGTATTTTATTATTAGTGAACTATGCACTAAATGCTACTCCAGGTTATTCTATTCACGGACACACAGGCACAGTCTGGAGTGATTGCATTTGGAATGATTTGGCATCTGTCAATATCCTATTTTCAAGCCTGTCTTTGAGTGATAGAGTTTATTTACAAAGATTCGCCAGCACAGTTAATACTGCATGCTGACAGCAATTACTGTCTTGATTATACTTAAGCTTATAATGGATTTTTCTGTCAAAATTTGAATAATTTAAAAATTTTTAACCTATGCCCTAATGAATATTGCACGAACAAGAAAGACATACAAGGCAATTTGTAGCTTAGTTGTGTTCATGGAAGTTACACTCCACAGCTCGAACAATGCTATAAACCCAAGCGGCATTCAAAATCCAAATCCATTTGAGAGTGTTCATCAAGCAGCTATTAGAGGTTCTGGGAATAGGCCACAGACAGTGCATTCCTCACACTATAGCTTTGAGAGGTATCCTGAGAATGAAACTAAAATATCTATGCCTTTCAAAGACATTACATCTATTGACAGCAATATCAAGAGACTAGTGAATCTAGAGAAACTATGTCTCCGAAATAACAAGTTAAAGCTATTGCCAGCTGAGATAGGAGAGTTGAAGAATCTACAGGAGCTTCATCTCAGTGGTAACAAATTAAAGTCATTGCCAGCCGAGATAGGAAGATTGGAGACTCTTCAGAAACTTCATCTCAATCTTAACAAACTAAAATCATTACCAGCTGAAATAGGAAAGTTGAAGAATCTACAATATTTGTATCTCGATTATAACAAGCTAAAATTATTGCCAGTTGAGATAGGAGAGATGAGGAATCTACAAAAATTGCATCTTAGTGGTAACAAGATCGAGATTCTACCAGCAGAGATAGGAAATTTGAAGAATCTAAATATACTGGATCTTAGTAATAACAAGTTAAAGTTATTGCCAGCAGAGATAGGAGAGTTGAAGAATCTACAGG